GGATTTTCTTTGCCACCACAAGTTCGCGATCAAGACGATTCGGATCACACAAGGGGTCACATACACCGACTGGGACTTGCAGCTTCTGCTTTCTGCGTGCCCCCAAATACGCGCTATCTATCTAGGTGATGCAGAATCACACTCATTTAGCGTTCAACTTGCAGGAGACTCTTCTCCACGCAGAAAATCGTCTTTGCGCTACATACGCGACAGGTTCCTGGCAATTGTTCATTCGCAACAGACCACACCCTCATTTTCTGCAGGCGGTGCGACTCTTCCTGCTGACATGTCCACCATAAGGACGATGGTCTGGACCCCAGTGTCGATAGGCTACGACAACGTCACCCCCTGGTTGGTTGCACGGGGGTGCCGTCCCCGAAATATGACGCTCGTTTTCTCGCCTTGGGAGCCCCTCAGTTTGAAAACTTCTATCCACGAGACCCTCGTTGCTGCAGGAACAGCGTTGGATCATCTTTCGCTATTTATCTATGATTTTTACAAGATACCATCTGGCTTCTCTCTCATTCCAGCATATCTCAAAATATCGACGCTATGTATTCGTTTGGTGAACCGCTATTCCCGTATTGAATCGTTTTCTCCATCATTGATCAATCTGCCTGCCCTGTGCAAAATACTCGAGAGTATTGGGCCTAAGCATACCAAGCTGCAGCAATTACTGTTGGGCTTCGAGCTTGATCGGCCATGTCTGGATACCGACTGGTCGGAGACGGGCGCCCTCCTTGCTCGCATGCTTGTATTCCACCCGCACCTTGCTGTCACGATCCGCATTTCTCCTCATAGGAAGCGAAACGATGGACATGAGTGGATGGAGCACTTCGTAAGCAAGATGGTCGACGGTCTATCGCGTTCGCTTGCTAGGACAGGCCGTGTGACCTTGATATGGGCCTTCCATCATAGTCAGCTTCCTGACTCGTAATCTTGTAGGAGCGGTATGTAGGTACTGGATGACATTAGGGTTTTCTCGGTGCATCTCTGGACAAGTTATTTTGTGGTTTGCGTTACTGATTTGTCCCTTGGAGGAGTTTTAATAGAATATGTGGTTGCACACCCTTGTACTTGGTTGCACGTGGGACTGCTTGTCGAGCTCACTATTCGCTTTGATCTGCCACCAGCTCTCTACCACATTAGCTCCGCGATGGACTCGAAGGATGAGAGAGAACACGATGAAGTGATGAGGCAGAAACACTGGTTTCGTTCAATTAGTCCAGGAATCTGCTGTGGAATTAAAGCTTCATGGAAGGGACGAGTCCAAGGCGAAGATACAGATGTTCCATGATATAAGGGAGAAACGTCAGAAAGCCCAAGAGGAAGGGGCTGAGGAGCTCAGTGAAGGTGATGATTCCGATAACGTTTGGCTCGATATATGCACCACCTGGCGAATTAGGCGCACCTTTTCCACATTTCGCGGCTTCTACGAGGTGAATTTCCCGATTGCGTTTGGAAAGTGATTTGCTGATGAAAGACTTTTGAGTAACTTGTCAGGGTTCCTTGGACCTTACTGGCCGCACCGAAAGACGCTGGAACTCGTTAAAACCCAGGGTGACATCATTTCTGCAAGATCTTGACACACCCAAGCGACTTCAATGCGACAGGAGTTATTACAGGATTTTACGTTCTCCTCTCCCGCACAGACATTGTACGACGCATCAGGAACCTTTCGCTGGTTATTCAATGGAACTCCAGCAAGTTGGCCATGGCTGGTCTTAATGCTGGCAACCATGATGACACCTATGTCACATTCTTCGCGCCCATCTGGAAAGGTTTCGAGTCCGTTCTAGCACACGCCTCAGACATTGTCGACTTGCACCTCTCCACGACTATCTCACATCAGATGCTGTTGGCGATGGCAGCGATGACAGATCTTTGTACATTGAAGCTTGTGGATTGTCACTTGTCGACACGATCCCAGACTCATTTGCCTCGACTGGCTTCCGTGATCAATGCTTCGTTCATACTCACTTCCGACGACGACGATGACGCGGACACGATTCTACTCCTACTCGCTTTGCTACCCAATCTTCGCATGTTATGTGTGAACGGAACGTCCAGGAAACCTTTCCGAATGTATCAAATTGGCTCCGAAACACGAGACAAATCCCCTCGACGAATTGAACGTATCCACCTAGCACATATCGCGCGTGACCAATTACCTGCGCTGGGTCTCTGGATTCGCCGAATGGCCGAGGTTCACGGTGAATGATCTTGCCTCACACATTTCAAGTTACAGATGGCATACGGATTAGGCAGGGATGAATTATTCGATTTAATATCTGCCCTCCAGAGTGCCCCTATGGACACGCTGATTCTTGACGGGTTGGCCTACATAGGACAGGATTTATTCGCCCGCATATCTCGTGCCTTTCCGAACCTGCACTCGCTGACGCTTTTTCGCCGCGAAAATATCTTGCAACGGCGTTGTGGACCTAGTAGGTGGCTAGCACCATCCTGGAAGTATGCATATCTTGCGGCGTTTACAATTCTGACATCGGTCGTTGTTGTGTGTACAGCCCTCGCTTTCTCCTTCTCATGGAGAATGGATATACGCCCGAAAGCTGGTCGTCGGTATTCCAATCTGCCGAGAACGAATGCTTTTTCGGATGAGAATGCTTTGCTTGACATTTTGCAGCTTATTGTTCACCACTCCAATCTCTGAGTTTCGCAATAGCGGATTTAGGAACAATCCAGGACTTCTCCATCTCAAGGGACAACAAGGGGAGGGTTATGGTTGACACCCCCGATATCGATGCTTCATTCAATCAGATGATGGTTACAAATCCGACTATCTTTTCAGGCAACAACCCGTGGGCGGTGGATGTATCGAGATATTAGCAACGGTACAAGGTTTACTTCTTTCAAGTCCCGAGGGCGATTTCTGCACCAGCAATCATCCACCTCCAGCATTTCTATACCGCTAGTCGTCAGAGTTCTCATCGTCGCTTCTAAAGAGACATGGACCATCGAAAACTTCCTGGGCAACGTCGAAATCAGAGTCAATATGCGGGATATCAAGGCCTTCGTCTATGTTCTCAGAATGATGTTCATTGAGAGTGGCTGATACCTTCGCATCAATAGCAAAGCCATATGTTTCCCCCACTTGAAAGGACCCTTGGCGAATCGAGGCGTAATCTGACGCATCCTTAGGCGGTATGCTTTCATCAATGTTACACCTGTTGCCCAACTGCAAGGGGGTTTATATTTAAAGAAAGGTTTATTTTAAGCAGAAACAGTCAGCATATCTCCAAGACAATAAATCAGACGTACCGTTTCTATTTGTGCAACTTGGCTACCTTTGTGTGTGTGTGATGCCTCCATTGTGGATTGTGTAGAGGAAATCTCTTCGAGATGATTCCCACTGCCAAGGTCTACCATATTTCTGCCGACAGAGATAGAAGGGCGCAAGGACTTATCCTCTTCGCACGAGCCAGGGGGGACGTCGGGGTCAGAGTAGCTATGAAGCTCCGAATTATCGACCTTAGGATTTACCGGGAGGTGTGGCTGGTCATGAGTACACGCTGTCGGAGGGGTTTTATAGCCTACGCCTCGTCTACTATTGTCGGAGGCAAAGCTGCAGTTTCGCCTGTCTGCGGACTTCGGGTAGAAAGGAACGCCGACACGAGAAGTAGCGTTAAGGGAACCGTGCAAGTCAAGAATATCATCCAGAACGCGCCAAGGGTCACAATTCTCAAATAGTTTGCCGCCTAAAGCATCGACCAGATTTTGCGATTTCGTCGACATCATTCCCGTTGAAGATTTAGTCAGGAGAATATCGAAATTCTGTTCCTGCGAAAATTGATGCGGCCCAAGATATTGTTCAAGTCCACGAGAATCATTTTCCTGACATATGCAGTCGGAATCCGAGGAACCAGGAAGCCTATAGCTCGGAGTTGGGGTGTGTGTTTGGCTGCCCTCTGCCTCGCGAATCATTGGTCCGCGATGAGTCGAGTTCGGGAAATGACACTCCCTGTCCGAAACTTTGGGTGACGTCCTTTGCGAGAAAGGATGTGTAGATGGCCCCCAGTGAGTTGGATTAGAATTGAGCCATGGCCTGGGATGAGGTGACAAAGAATCAGATGATATGCAGTCAGATAGTCGTGTTCTGACAACAGAACTATCTTCCCGGACAATTGGAAAGCCCAAGTGAGGAAAGAAATCTCCCCGTCCTTCAGGGGAGAGCGACTGTCCGACTGAAGATTTGTACCTTTCAGGTTGGTAGACAGACAAAGAATCACCGTCAGAGTAGCTGCCTGATTCGCCACTCTCTGCGAAATCAGAGCCCATACACCTATTGGCGGGGCTGCTGTCGAGGGGTATTGGCTCGAAATCGGACTCGAAGTGCGCTAAGTCATTCAAGTTGATTTGATTGATAAATTGAGGCTCTCGATAGTGCGAGCCACGGATAAGAGACGATAAATGCGCACCTACATTGACAATGAGAAATATAATGGTTGATCCGATGCGATGATTTGGAATACACTTGCCTCTCTCTGCTGCATCAGTGGATGGCTGCCGGACGTGAAGCTCTTGAAGGGCGGAAGGTTGGTACTTATTCCATTGCCGAAAATTGGACGCCATCGACGAGGATTCAAGAGAGCCGATGCGTGAGTGTAACGTAGGACTCTGGGATATCCTGCACTGTGTCAAACACCGAATCAGCCCCCAAAGATAGCAAGGCGATACCATCGTACCCTCTTCCGCGCTGGCTCAGCTGGAGAAAAAGACATTTCTGCTGGAAGAGATGCCTCCCTGAAAGCCGTTGATGACTCTGGTTGACGTGTCAACCCCGCGAGGTTTGGAAGTTTACGGATCCGCTCCATTTCAGCTCGTATAAAGATGGCTGAGAAACTCGCAGTAGGATCGAGGATGATCAAAAATCGACACTGTAAACGTACGCTCGGACGTATCTAAGAAGCTCAAAATCTTGGAACGTCGAGTTTTTCCCGAGCAATTTCGCGCACTGCCGCTCGAATCCGAGAGAGGTTCTGAACATCGAGCACGAGGACTTAGACTCGGCTCGACGTAGCTCAGCCTGGATATACCAGCTTCTGGAGGAGCTTGCATCCGCGTAGAATGTTGCTGAGCGTGAGCCAGAGAAATATCAGATAGACCGCTTCTGTCTCGCGCTCTAGTGCCACTTAATGTCTGACTATGCGACTTGTTTAGACATTTTGCTAGCATTCCGAGCCTCTGTTTGCCAAAATAACTTTTCTGCGCTCTCCCCGCTGTGTCCTTGACCCGAGCTCTTGCTGCATTCCTGAGATAAGGCGTATATCAGTCTTGATTTCAACGGCTCATGGCCCTTCACTGACCTCTTTCCACCCATGTAATTTGCGCCGGCCATGACAAATAATCCGCTCTGGAAATGGGTGAGGACGATGTCTTCTTCAGTATATTTGAATCAGAGGTATGGCCTGAAAAACAATAGTGGTAATTGAGAAAATGGATGAGAGGACCGTTCAGACTGCTTCAGTCGAAAAGCAACGGTGCGTCGCATACAGCCAGATACAGCCAGGGTGATACCTAGCCGACGGCGGACGCCGACGACACGGCGCGACACGATCACCGACGTCGTATGTACCTATGTATTTATTGAATGTCCCGTTGCCTAATACCACGCATCGTCGTCGCCAGTTTTTGGACTTCTGTCCTACTCTGCCCCCCACACAGGACACGAGTCTTGGTTTTGCGGATGGCACAGGCTCGATAGTGCCCTCTGCCAAGAGTCAACTCCAGCGTTCTACTGACATCCCGACCTAAAGCATCTCTCGTCTGACATGGCTGAAGATGCCGAGGATGATATTGGGCTATCGTTGTTATCAAACAGTAGTAAAAATTCTCCAGGGCGTCCGGGGCCCCCAGCAAGAACAATCTCTAATGGGCTGAGATCCCCCTCGTCTCCCAATTTGCTCCCGATATCCCCTCGACGACTCACTCGATCCAATACTACTCCCCGAAAACACTCGTATGCTGTCCATCAGCCGAGTTTGAGTCTTGACGGTCTTTTCATGGAGCCTGCGAAGATAGCAAAATTGCGCCGGTGGATTTCTGGCATAGTAATCGGTAAGCTGCAGCCATCCCTGTCGCCTTTATCCAGTTCTCATATTGGAGCAATATAAAGTCGATTTCGATTTAGAACTAGGTCCGAAGGTATCCTGTACTTATCCCCCGCTGGACCTGTCGCCTTCGGAGGCAGAAAATATGTGAGAAAATCACGAAGCTACATCCAATCTGTGTCCTGATCCACACTTGTATACGCAGTGCCTTCTCCTCGTTTCCGGACTCTCCACAATTTGATCAGGGTTCACAAGTTCATTCTTTTAGGATACGAGTGCATAGTTCGGCTGAGGATAAGCTGCTTCGGCCCAGCAGCCAGCGCCCTATCTCCGAAGATGGCTACATATACGGATTTTCTCATTTCACCCAACGGAGGGATGCTGCCTCTAAACGCGGATATCAGCAGGTGCGCTTCAGCTACTGAAATTATTCAACCACTCTTTAAATTGCGGCTGTTTAGCGCTCCGTAGTCATTCTTACTCATCTCGCATACCCCGCATTTTTTTATACCCTCCTGAACAAACTCGGACCTGCATTCTTATCCCATGGCGGACCTATGCTGGAGGCCGCCTGCCATAATATTGCTAACTGGTACGTGCATACGCCCACGCGCCTTTCTATCACTCTCAACATTTCGCGAAGAGAAGGTCAGATCCTAGCTCCGGCGCAGTCCTCGAGCTGGGTTTCCTTGGCGCAGTCTTTTTTACTGAGCTCCCGCTCAACGCTGACACACAGCAAGCTCTGCAGAATGCTTCCTCCAGACGGAAAGATGGATCTTATGACCCTCAGTATCATGTATGCCATATCCACATTCTCCAGCTGGTCATCGATATCGTATTGTTTTGCTGATCTATTACTTACTATAGATACTGGCGTCGCTACCTCCTCCGGACCCACCGGTTCTATGCCTCTTTGAAGCATGTTTACCTCAATTGTGGTCAATATGGGAGTGTCTTGTGCTGTGTGAGCCTATCCTTGTGTACGGTCCTTCACCTGCCATGACAAGTCAAGCCATTTGGTGGCTGCGAGACATCCTACGACCAGTGAGTTTGTGTATCACCATGATGTCTGTTCAGGGCCCTTGTCTAAGCGCGTACTTTGCAGATTCCTCAAGCTGGTGATTTTCGGACATTTTTCACCATTCACGACGCGGACTGCAGTGCGTTGGTGAATTCGCGCCCACCAGGTACAGGACTTATACTTGGAGTCACTAATCCTGTCTTCGAGCGCTCTTGCAAACATTGGCCACACGTGCTCAGTCTTGGGCGATCCCCTCCGTAAGCGTTTAAACCAGCAACTCGATGACTTGAATTCACATTTTGCGTCTAGTGCGAAGGCAGACATGAGTATGATTGCTGGTCCGGCGCCAGGTTGGAAGACGCGCACACATAGTAGGTATACCTCAAGGGATCGCTCCGTGTTGCAGACATTGCAGGAGGCCTGCACGGGTTCTGAACAAGCTAGTAAGTCTTTCAATCAGAGCTTGAATAGGCCATTGTATTGACCCCGATTCAGAGCGAGAGGCTTCTGCCCTTCTCCGACAACATTTCTCTTCACGAACGGCTGCTTTTCTCGTCCCCTTACAGCGCTACCTCCAGCGACTTATCCCTCTACCATCGTCATCTGCTTCTACCAACTTCCCCTCCACTCCTTATCCCCGATCCTCGACTTCGGGCGCGTTTCCCCCTACGCCGCTCCCTAAGTCCTCCAATTCCGCACTATTTCCTTCCACTCCGTTTTTAAGAACCTCTGCGTCTACGGTGTTTCCAAAGTCCGCTGTGTCTTTCACGTTCCCGAAGTCTATATCGTCAATCACGGTCTCGACCCCGCTCTCGGTGGCTGATTCAAAGGACGCCTTATGGAAAAGCGCGTCCCCTTCTATACCTGCGGAAAGTTCTGGATCTAAAGCAAAAGTAGCATCTGGTCTCGGTAGCGGCTCACGCCCTCCGCGTCTAGACATTGACTCCTCTGATGGCTCACAAGAGGAACGTCCTTCCACACCGGACTCGAGTGTATTGGCGTCTACTCCATCGGCAACAACCCAGGCATCGACTCCAACGTCTACGCTCCCGCGGCTCGCGCCCTTCAGTGAGCGCGCGTTTTTGGCGTCGTTGAAGAGTGCGAGTGGACCACTTGCGCTGCCGTTCAAGTCTACGGGAAAAGCGCGTGATTTTTATGCAAGATGGATCCGCACGCCTGGGTTTGGACTCTGGATCGCTCGGCAGGAGGAAGCAGTAGACCGTGTACTGGGGAGGACATAGTTCCAACCCGCATACCATGTTATTTCTATGGCGTGCTAGAATAGCACGTCGTATACGCCATCTGGTTTGTATTTTAAGTGTAGTCTGCGGTGTTATACACGGACTCTTGATCCAAGCAAACGGAAGCAAACCTCATGATCCCTCGGGTACATGTGTGATTCCCGCCCGCATTAAGTCCGCGATCTCAGCCCGACGTTTGCCTGCGCCGCTCCGGGCCTGTCCCGCCTTGTACGACCGAAGCCAAACCAACCGACGAGCACCTCTTTAGCGAATATCTCGCCAAAACCGAGCATGACACCGTTCACGAACGGGAGTGCGACATTAATCGCGAGGCTGCCGAGGAGCGCAAGCACACGGGTATTGAAGGGCAGGGACGAGTCGAATAGAGCGCGTGTGAGCGTGACTGGCGGGGCCCCAGCAGTAGAAATGAGTGCGCCGGCGTCGGAGGCCGTGTGATGCGCATGTTGCGCGTGAGCATGATGGTGTGACTGGTGATGCGCGTGCGAGTGGGCAGGATGCGAGCCTGGTGGTGAGGGCAGACCGGAGGGGTAGGATATCGAGGGATACGAGGAAGTGAGCGACTCAGACGAATGGATGTCCTCCCATTTTTCGTGTCGAGAGGTCTCTGTGTCTGGGGATGAATGCGGCTGTGAGGCTTCCGGGAGGATCTTCCGGGTGAGCTAGTGAGCAACTGCGAGGAATAATATTAAAGTATACGAAACACACCTCGAGAGTTTCTTTTCCCAAAACGCCCTCTGCTTCTCCGGTGACGAGGACCCTCACGTCGGCTATACTGGGCTCTGTTTCTCTGGCCTCTGTCTCTCCAGCGTCGGTCACTGCACGCGTGCTGGTACTCGCGCTCTCGATCATGACGGACGCACTGGTGCTGCCGCCAATACTCTCCCAGCCACTGTCACTCCGCGTCTTGGCTTCCTCTCGCTCGTGCTTTCTGAGCTCCTCCCACCTGGCGCGCTCCTGCTCAGCGCGGTCGCGTTGCTCGGCAGACTGTCGGCGCCATTCGGCAACGTGAGCATCGTACTCAGCCTTCCAAACTTCCTCTGTGGACTCAGGCTCGTGCTCTGCACGAGCTGGTGCCGACGTCTCCGGTGCAGGCTCTGGTAGTGTCGCTGGTACCGCAGACTGTTCTGGGACAACAGACTGCTTGGGTACCGTGACGGGCGCGAATGCTGTCTGGAGCGCCGACTGAACAAATAGTTGTGAGTTGCGATAGGACTGCAAACTAGAAAGAAAGCAGCACCTGAAGGAGGTTCTCTTCCTCGGGGTTGAGACGGTCTGCCATGGACCGGAGACAGCAGCACTTGGATGCTTTGAGTGTGCAGCGTCGGCGCTTGTGGGCTCAGGACGGAATCGCCCTATTTTAGGGTTTGCAAGCGAGAGCAAACAACTTCAAGGATGGCGGCAATAGGGCATGATCACGTGCGACGCCGCTCCCGACTCGGCTTCGCCAAATGAGGAAATTAGATTTCCAAACCGGGACAACGCGACGCGTCGCTCCGACGTCTTCAACCTGGCGACGTCATTGACCACCGCTGCTTGTCAGCTAGAGGTGATGACACTGATGACTATCCATCTGCCAGCCTCGCTATATAAGCCACGACGACGGCCAGCTCATCCCCACAACCTCTCTTCCTCACATTCTGTACTTGCACTTGAACACACCTCGTTGAATTATCATCATTACCATGTCTTCTTCCAGCTACAAGGTAACTTCGCGTTCAGGTAGATAGAACGAGCTTGTTCGCTCACTTTCGGCCTTAGCAAGGTGACAAGGTCGAGTACCGCCCCATTGGTGGTAGGTAGATCCTACCGCTGGACCACATTATTCGCTTTATAACGCTACGAATTTCCATAGGTGACGCCGACAACGTCGCTCACTCCACCGGCACCATCGAGAAGGTCACCGAGGCCGAAGATGGGGTAGGTTTACTGTTCCCCGCTACTCACCTTGCACTGATATGATTTGACCATAGACTCAGCGCTACACGATCAAGAACGACAACACCGGTAAGGCCACGAACTACCAGGTGCGCGCCGTTCTCTCTCTGCGTTAGTCCCCAGACTGATGACGCGAGCAGGAGATGAACATTGTCAAGAAGCTCTGAGTGGGTGGCGTCGTTTGTGTATCGATAAGGTCCCCAGGTGTATTGTAATTGGAGATGGTTTATTGGATGTAGCATTCGGCCAGATCTTTACTGTGCGAGTCAATTTCTTCTGATGCCGCAGGTATGAAGCTATCCGAGAGGTGCACAACGTGCAACCCAAGGGGTAAAAGCTGAGCGCTGAGAGGGACGATTGGTGGCTGGCGCCTATGTAGTCAATCCTATGAACTATTGTCACTCTCACTCTCACTCTCACCGGAATCGATAGTGCAGTGACATAGCTTTCGCGCCTTTGGTCCTATCATAGGTCATGACTCGTATACTGACTAGCAGACGTCTGAGTGCAAGACCAACGTATATGAATGAAATCCATGGCATCTATGCTCAAACTCCGCGCGCGACGGTGTCAGGTTCAAGTTATCCGCGCCACCTCATACTTCCTCAGGACTTGAACACCCAGAACTCCGCGATTAGTCGATTATGCAATGTCTCCCTTGACTCTAGGACAATACGAATGGCAAGAACGACTGCTTTCCCAATTTATATGCGATCAGTAACAGAGACTAGCTGGAGATGCGCGAGCGATAGAGTAAGACGATACGGTATGCACAATCTTCTCAATTACCGAATACAATGGTTCGATCACATTCCAACATGTCTTCCTCAAAAATTGATAGCAACCGATAGGACCATTGAAATCAGGTGAGTGGTCCACATGTCTCTGGTCTACGGAAGGTCCCAATACCGATCGACTACTCATGTTATAGCTTCTGGCGCACGTTCGTGAACCGGTCGACTACTCCTTCGTGTAGTCGGATTATGGAATCGGATTAGGGAATGGAGTACTGGTCTGTCGTTCTAAATTCTTTTTGGTCTTCTGTCGTTGCCATTTGTGTTGACTCGTCCTCTTACCATGATGAATCATCGGATTTTAGCCGATGTACTTGATAGAGAGAGCCCTCCACCATTTACCTGACGTATAATTACAGTCGTTCGGTAACTATAGGATCCCATTGGTGTCCACAGCTACGATAAGTGTGTGGAACGTTTCACGGGGCGGGCCGCATCTACCGTTTGACGATGCCTCAACGCGGATGTCCGTGCATATTCGTCGATACCCAGAATGGTAAATCAACATCAAACTACTCGATGGATGGGCCCCATTTCCGCATACCGACTGTCAGCTGCTAAGGGGGGATGGTTCTATGAATGGGAGAACGGTGTCACTCGATTCTCCACTCCATTGCAGCCTGTCTCTCACGTTTGGTAGAAGCTGAGTTCCTCCGTACGGCATTCGTGCCTGCCCTAGGTCTACCCCCTTGTTCTTGGTCGGGCTGGAACCGTACATTTCATTCTCGGCAACAAACCGATAGAACCGTAGCGACGAGGTATTTGAAGATCTTCCAGTGTGATGGATCCCGTCTGAACTTCCGCTGATATCGAGACGTGGTCAAGATGCTGCTCACTGCTCGTTTGTTCATAGCTGTCGGCTTGTCGCTACGGGGAGTTGCCTCACAGACACCATATTCCGAGACGCTTGGACCCCTGGCATGGACGGCTCCAGGTGTCTTTCCCACTTCCTTGTACCAATCTTATTACAATGATCCCACTGCGACCTCTGCAGAACCGCAGCCCGTCATCACTGATCCCATAACCGTGAGCATCATTACAAAGTATGTCAACGTGTAAATCTCATCGTTTCTAGCATGAAACGTATCCATACTGGATAACCAATCCCGAGACCATCCCTGAGGTATATCTGACAGGTATTGTTGACTTGACGCACCTCATTTGTGATGACAGAGCGATACTTTCGAGCCACACCCCTTTCCGCCCCCCGTGTCGACTCTTGAACTCGCCGAAGTAGCTTTTCAGCAGATCTTGTCAATCGCTTCCAGCCCTGGTTTCGGCAATGACACTTGCGCGCGTTGTCTGGCTGCGCTCGAAGTCGGCAAGTTCGTCGCGCTCGCAACACCAGAGCAAACCTCCCTGTTGGCCGTACGCGTATGCGAGTATTACAACTTCACTACAGATTGTGAGGGGGAGTACGGCCCATTCGATACAGGGGGGGTAATCGCTCAGGTGATCCAGCTTGCGGATGTCGCTGGATACGATGGACAGGTTAGCATGCACCACCTGGAACGATTATGGCCTGTCATACCTTATCTGACTTTGATAGATGATCTGCAACTACTTCTTGAGCCTATGTCCCGTTCCACCCACCAGCCCGCTTGATCTAACAAATTGGTTCGCAAAGCCTAAACCAGACCCCCTTCCAGCGCCGAAACAACCCACCGGCCAGCGACTGAAAGTCCTTCATCTGTCCGACCTGCACATCGATCCTCGTGTGTATCTTAGCATTGCTCTCAGTTGCGTTGCGTAACCAGAGCGCTGCGCGTATGCAGGTTACACCATCGGAGCCGAGGCGAACTGCACCAGCTACTTGTGCTGTCGCCCTGGAGTTTATAATGCAGACAACCCCGAACAGGTGGTTCTCCCCGCGCCCCGTTATGGCTCCTTTTATTGGTACATGGCATGGACTTCTCATCGCGCTCAGATCTCAGATACTGGTTCATTTCAGTGACGCGCCGTACCCCTTGGTAGTGAACGCCTTTCAGGCTGTCCAAGAACTTGCCGGAGGAGATGATGGGTTTGACTTTACGATCTTCACGGGAGATCTCCTCTCGCATGATTCTCATACCTTGCTATCAGCGTACGTGATGTCTATTCATGTTGTGTCTTCTGCAGCAGCACTAAGACTCGATGTCTTCTAGCATGTATACACTCTACACTGAGGTTGGACCCCTGCCCTGTGATGTCGTTGGCGGGTGCTTACAGATGCTGCCTGCAGACTGTACTGTACGATTTGATAAAGCAATTGATCAAGACTGGACCCGTCTACGCTGTTCAAGGCAATCATGACACCTACAATTAGTTTGTGGCATTGTGTTTTTCATTGAAGTACCTGATATATATCCCTTCAGTGCCCAAAATTCTCCATACAACATCGAGAATGGTCTAGTTAACCAATATAATTGGTGTTTTTTTTTGCATCAAATGTCACCTCAGAGGCTGTACTGATCGGTGCATACAGGAATTACGATCATCTCGCTGCGCTATGGGAGCTCGATGGCCAACTCTCGCCCGAAGCTGCTCAGCAAGCCCGAACTCATTATGCCTCATATTCTGTTCAGCGCCAAGATGGACTGAGAATTATTACGCTCAATACTGACTTTTGTGGGTATTTGTACTAGTTTCCTTTGTTAGAAATACTAATTATTGCCGGCCTCTTTCTAGGGTATACGTACGCACCGTCTGTTCTCATATCGAAGAAATAACTATTCATATGCAGTCCCGCACCAGTCAGAACATGTTCAATTACATTAACCTTTCTTCGTCCGACAACTCGGGGATGCTCAGATTCCTGACCGATGAGCTGCAGGATGCTGAGGACGCGGAAGAGCGAGGTGAGTCGGCTCAAATCTGTCAAAATAATGTAACTGCTACTGATCATCTTCCAGTGTGGATTTTGGGGCATGTGCAGAGCGGCTGGGATACTGCAGACCCCTTGGAGAATCCGACCAATTTATGTAGGTCGACGAGTTGCATTCGATATAAGTATATCATGTCATGCTCAAGTTGTGTCCAGTTTACCAGATGTAAGTATTTTAACAGTTGACTGACTGCAAATTTGCCTCACATGTTGCAGTGTCGATCGGTATTCTCCCCACGTCATTGCTGGTGCGCTATTTCAATACGGTTCCTCAGCTTGTACATTGCTCAAGCATATCCTCAGGCGTGTTTTTCGGACACACTCACGAGGACCAAGTGATGGTGCGTCACGTTCATGTTTGGACCATAGTCATGTCAGAACCACGGACATCATTAGATTTACTACAATAACAATGCGACCAATATTAGCGTTGCAAACGCTCAAACTGTTGGCTGGGTAAGCATCGTGACGAGTGTGGCACAGTGCGATGGTTGACCGCAAATATGCTTGCACAGATTGGACCATCGTTAACGCCGCTCACTGCGTACAATTCTGGGTTCCGCGTCTATGAGGTGGATTCTGGTGTGCGTATATCTTCGCGCCAGTATATATAACATCTTATGTACCAACTATACCCCACCTGGAACAGACATTTGAAATCCTCGACTCTTATACGTGTGTATTTTTGTTTTCCGCCTTACATGAATGAGCTGACAATTATCGTGGTTATTCAATCGACCAGGTATATTGCGAACGTCAGCTTGTTCCCTGAACTCGACGGACAGACACAATTTGGACCCGTTTTTGAGCTCGAGTATAGCGCACGAGACACTTATGGTGGAAACATTACCTGGGATTCCAGTGATCCACTGAACGCTACGTGGTGGCATTTAGTCACAGAAGGTTGGATACATCTTCCGGCTTTGGAACCCTGGTAGCTGAATATATATCCACCACGCAGCTATGTACGCTGATCCAGCCCTCGTGGAGGTGTGTTTTATGTTTCAGGATTTATTTATGCGGACATTTCATGCTCCCTTTGCTGACCGGTTCATTAAGACTTTTAACCTCTACCAAACCAAGAGCTCCGTTTTTACTGTGCCTTGCACCGACGAAGAATGCATTGCCCAAACAATCTGCTTCATGCGGAGCGCGAGCTCAAGCCTGGTACTTCAAAATTGTGGGTAAACATGCGAATTGGGTACAGTCAGTAACTATCGCAGAGTCATACTTGATGGATTTTGGTTGACTACCGTTGCTGATGTTGGGTTTCGAATGAAAAGTTTGAGGACCATCCAATTTTTAAGTAACGCGAGTTGATCTGGTCAATAGTATCCTTGCAGTGGGGTAGCACGGGCGGTGGGTTTGAGACTGCTCCGGTGGTGATTTACGGCACTTATTAGAAGTCAATCAGCGTTGGTGGTGAGTAAAAGCTCTCCCTCGTATCCGACTGAACGGCTGCGATGGGTATGCCTATCGTCCAGGCCCTACGTCCACCTGCTGTGGGTGCATAAGTCATGAACTCGTAGTAAGCTGTAAAGTACTGGTCGAGTGTCAGCACAAGTTCCATCTAGACGAGCATATACTTTGACGGACGAATTAAGATCAAAGGTAAATACAAAAAATCATCAGCTGAGTCATAGATGTATTGTATTTACAAGAGTCGATGGTCGATGGATGGTATACAAGTCGTACTAACTGATAACAGACGCACTGCGTCAGAGTACATGATGCTCGATGTCTTTGAATTTGAGAGCTTGGAATCAAGTCGGGACTTTGTGATACTTATGTTATTCTCAGCTTGGATCTTCGGTTGGAGCCTGGATTTGAAGACATCACAGCGGAAAGTAGATCACGGGCAATAAACTGTACTCAGGCTGATAAGTACAAGTACCATCATTTTGTGTCAGCAATTTGACTGTCTAATTAGTTTGGCTTTAGCAACGTTGCTACATTATAGTCCTAGGTGCCTTCCTCACCTCATAATTCAGGACTTACTGCAGCGATTTCATGGTGACCTCTGTCATTCATGACCAAGGCACTGGTGGGCACAATGGGGAATTATTGCGCTAAAGTCAAAGAGCAGTGCTACTAACAATCAAATCTTGGTTGGGTGGGAAAGACGTTAAATACTACTCCAAACTAACAATCAAATCTAGGTTGGGTGGGAAAGACGTTAAATGCTACTCCATAGTACCAACTTTAGTTTTTGATCATGGCAACCTCCTTTCTACGTGCCTGATGCCAGATAGCAAGGACTTAGACCCAATGAAGCTCTGGCGGTATGTAACCGATAATTTCGGCCGGCTACACGGGAGAGGAAGGCAAAGTAGTGGCGCCGTGTGCCATGCGAGATATAGTCACTTGAGTATCTTAAAGGAGACATTAGCCATTGGGGATTCCACTGATTGCCTACGGAGGGTAAATGCTGGACGCTAGGACGATCTGCTTGCTCGAGGTCCGAGCCTCAGGCAGTCTACAGCTTTGGCCTACTGATCACCGAGTCTTCAATAGCACCCGCAGACATAGGGGGTGATCATCATTGAGAAGATTTCGGTAGCATGGAACGAATTCGTACTGCATCTGGCGACCTTCGAGGAGCAAGGAAGAGAAGGCGGACCATTACACCGATATCTGGTCGCGTGGTCGTTCTTCCCGACGGTCATCCGCGCGGCTGGGGAGGGGTAAACGAGCAACAGTTCTCATGCGATGCGAACCTATGCTGCAGTCTTCTCGATTGGAGTGCACTCACGCACCGGACAGCCCACGGTGGCAGTATCAGAATGGTTTCAAGCTCCTAAGCACGAAAAGACGTACGTCTGGCGTAAAATTGGAGCTATGAAGAGGGGTCTCGTGCGCATCGCGTATATACCCAAGTTGCAGCGCGAAATCTTAGGAGACCTGCAAAGGCAGTAGGAGATCATAGTTAGCGAGACGCGCTCGGAGACGAATGACGACAACATTGGTTAGAGCGTCTTGCACATAACGCCCGCAATCGCTGACATCGGTGAAGGGGGCTTATCTGCTGATGATGGCACTCCTACGCTAGGCTGCCGCGGCCGTCGTCGCCGTCGTTGGCAGCGAGGAGAATGGCGACATCGATCCCGCCGGTTGCTTAGGTAAGGCTAGTGAGCCGACATGACTTAAATCTGACTCACGATCAGACAACGGTTCAATTTATAGGTGACAATACATTTTTCATAAGGGCAAAATTCCTTATATAAGACCCTCGGTTTGCCTCCCGGGTATGTACCCTCCCCTCTTCATTTCTGTCTAGACATTTCTCTTGTTACCTTGTATTACATATGACGAACCCCCATTCTAGTGACGAGGAGACCCCCCTGCTTCATGACGCACACCGCACAAAACCCACTCGAACACCCATCCCATGGAGCCAGCTGTCCATCCTCCTCGTCCTCCAGCTCGCTGAGCCTCTCACCAGCCAAGTTATTGCGCCATTCGCACCGGAGGTGAGTCATTCCCAGCCGTCCCCCACTGAGCGCCTGCTCATCACGCTTCTCGCCCTACAGCTTATTCGGAGCATTGGGATCACTGGTGGCGATGAAGCCAAGGTCGGATATTATGTCGGTCTTATGGTGCGTGCACATACTAGTGGCAAGACAAGCGGGGTTTTATATTTTGTCTCGTAGTATTCGCTCTTCTTTGCTACACAAGCGGTGACGGTCCTTCATTGGAGTCGGTTGTCAGATCGTGTCGGAAGGAAGCCTGTTATCATGACTGGTCTGCTCGGTCTGTCACTCTCAATGTACAGTTTTGGTTTATCGCGGACGTTCTGGGGACTTGTCGTGAGGTTCGTCTCAATCACGCGGACTCTTACAACGTTATCTTACCTTGCATATTGTTTAAAGCCGTAGTCTGAACGGAGCTTTGAACGGGAACATTGGTGTATTGAAGAGTATGATGGCGGAGATTACAGATTCAACCAATATCGCAGAGGCGTATGCTTATTTGCCTATATCATGGATGGCAGGCGGTACTTTGGGGTAAGCTCGTCGATTCTGAAATTGAACAATTTAATTCCTAATACCAACAGGCCTATGATCGGCGGAGCATTGTCACATCCTCATGAACGCTTTTCAAACATATTTGGCCATATGGAAATATTCAAGACATATCCTTATTTACTTGCATGTGCCGTACCTGCAACATTCTCGTCTATCGCATTCCTAGTTACACTGTTTTTCCTCAAAGAGGTTAGTTCCACACCTCCTGATGCAGGAACCGTGTATCTCATAGACTCTGCTTGAACAAGACTGTAGCATCACCCGTATCCATTCGTCGTATTATCAAGCTGCGCAAGAGCAAGGCTAACCTTACGCTTCAAAACGTCGTCGGTGCAGACGGACCTAAACCTCCAACACCATTCGTATCATCGAAGGCCGCGGTAGAACCACTTCCACTTCGTGCTCTCCTCATCCCCCGCGTGATAATATCCGCGGGTAATTACGCTCTCCTCGCCATTGTCGATATCAGTTACCGAACGGTGCTTCCTGTATACATGTCCACTCCGATCGATCTTGGTGGTCTTGGTCTCTCTCCTCAGATGATTGGCACCATTCTGTCTGTGTACGGTTTAATGAACGGCGTGATCCAAATCATGCTGTTCTCGAGAGTAATTAACCGATGGGGAGCGAAGAAGGTTTATGTGTTCGGCATCGCTTCAGCGCTCCCCGTCTTCGCTTTGTGCCCTGCCATTAACGTCTTGGCCCGGGCACAAGGATATAGCGTCACCGTATGGACCCTGCTGGTCGTCCAGACACTCATTTCAATACCGCTGAACTTTTGCTATGGTAAGTCTACATGGTCAGGGTCGCATCTCAGAGGGCTGATTGTGACGCGCGTGCGCAGGGAGCGTCTTCATATACATTACGGCATCGTCACCGAACAGGAGTTCTCTTGGTTCTGTGAACGGTCTCTCGCAAATGAGCGTGTCTATCATGCGCGCGATCGGGCCTGCGTTTGCGAACTCGATGTTCTCGCTGTCGATAGACAAGGAACACCACTATCTGCACGGTATGTTGGTGTACGTTTTCCTTGCTTGTTTAGCGTTCGTCGCGCTAGGAGTAGCGACATTGTTACCGACGAAGGTGTGGAAAGACGATGCAGAGGAGACCTCATGAAAATTACGATTTGTTACGACCCGACCGCCTTGTGCAAGATTCCTGCGATACATTGCAACTCGTATTGATTTGTCGTGTCTAGAATAGAATGAAGATCGATATTCTGGAGACGGGATGTGAGTGTATAAGGTGCTGTGCATGGCGTCAAGGCTCGGCAGAGCGCGTGCGGGCCGCGCTCAGCCACAATTGTGGCCGGATAAGCGCCAAAGCCTTCTTGCAACGAACCACCACGACCACGTCAAGTTGCCTCTGCCCTTCTGCCCTGCTTCCGTCGTCGTCCACATCGCTTGGGTCTGCTCACGCGTCTGCGGACAGTTATCCACCATGTCGTCCTTCGCTGCTCTCATGGCCCTCAGTGCCACTCAGACCCGCCAGGCTGAAGAAGCTGTCCAGTCCGCGCTCGACGAGCGCCGGCGTAAGGAGGCCCAGAGACGCAAAGAGCAGGAAGAACGAGAACGCAAGGAACGGGAGCTGGAGGCGAAGCTGCGCATGAAGCGTTTCGAGGACGAGAAGAGAGAGCAAGAGCGGCAGCAGCGACTGCAGCAGGAACTCGCCGCCAAAGAGCGCAAGTTCCAGCAGCGAGAGGAGCAGGAACGCGATCGTCTGCGATATGGGCCCAAGAAGGCGCCCGCCCGCACCGACAAGAGCGGCTACCCCGTGTCCAATGCTGCTCTCCGCCACTCGCGTACCTCGGACGACGAGTCGTCGAGTGCCCTCACCCGTGAGGAAAAGCGCAAGCGCCGTCAGGAAGCCGAGCTGCGCTACGGCGTGAACGCATCGCGCCGTGTCGGCCATTCGTCGAGCTATGGGAAGGCGGGCAGGCGGCTACCAGGAGGAGCAATGGACATCACAACGACGAATACGACGTTATCGGACCCGGGCAGCTCGCTGTCTGTGCGCCAGCGCCTCGCTGCGGAGCCAGCAATGCTCATCAGGCTGAACGTCAACAAGCGTGACACGCGTACCATTGACGAGATCATGCAAGACCGTGCAAAGGCAAAGACCGGTGCGGTGTTGCAGGGCGACCAGGCCAAAGAATTCAATGACTGGTTCGGCAAGAACAAGCAGAAGGACGTAGCCAGGATTACTTCGTCGCAGACGGGCTCTGCTTCGACTTCACGGGCAAATACGCCTGCTACTGGTAGCCAGCCCCCTCCAAAGGTGGCGAGCGGCTCAGCGTCTCCTGCTACTCGCCCATCGAGTCAACTTAAATCCATCGCAACACCTGCTAAGCCTTCGGCCAGCCAACGTGCAGTTATACCCAAAGCTACTCCCTCCAAACTTGCACCTAATAGCTCCGTGAAGCCACAAGGATCGTTGAACAAGGCATCTGCCGTCTCCTCTAAGCTTGCCGCTTCTGCAACTCGACCGGCCATAAAGAAGAGGCCACGATCGCCTTCTCGCTCACCTTCACCTCCACCGAGGAAGCGCGCTATGTCCTCAGGTCCATCGCATAATGATATCAGCCAGGAGATCTGGAAATTGTTCGGTAAAGACCGCTCGCGATACGTTGCTGCGGATGTCATGAGCGACGACGAGGACATGGAGGCTGGTGCACGCGACCTAGAGAAGGAGGAGCTAAGAAGGTCAGTATCATGTAACTTTACTCGCACATATCCCCGTCGGCCGGCAGATTGTCTATTTCGACGACTGACTGTAATCCTCATTTCTTCAGCTCGCGCATTGCCCGCAAAGAGGAGGAACTTGCACTTGAGGAAGAGCGCCGCCATGAGGAAGAGAAGCGGAGGAAGAGAAAGGAGAGAGACCGGGATACCCGTAAGGGTCTGTGATCTACGGTATGTTTATCACAATTTCATCTTCGTACGCTACAGTACTTTGATCGGCACGGTCTTGTTATCTGGACATCTCATTGCACATCATACGCGTCATACATCATGCCCTCATGCATTGTACACTCACATATACTGTTGTAAACCTATGCATCTGCTTCTTGTCTCACTGGCCCATCTTTGTTTATCCCTTCATCGCATAGAATACGCTTGACATCAAATCCTTTGCCTGCAATAAAGTTATTCATCTAACGGCTATATTCGAGTCTCCGTATATTAATCACTACAGTAATGGGATGGCGATGCAGGACAGCAAGAGAAGGGGCGACGATTAAGTGAATACAACGAAGTGCGACGGCTTAAGAGTAGGGTGGTAAATTACCATCCGGCGAGCCATTACTGACCGCCCTCCTCCATTTTGAATCTCTTCCTTGGTCCGTCTGGTCCAAACTGTCCTCCGCCACCGCCCTGCATGAACGCAGGGTTGAAATGTCCTTGGACATTGGCGAACCCGCCCCTGCCTCCCATTGGCATCATACCCATCCCTACATAATAGTACACGCGTCAGCCGCTCAAGAAAAATACAACGGACAGCGTCCTAAGAATCCATGCCCATACCTCCCATCATGCCGCCACCTCGGCCGCCATAACCCGTGTTACCCATCATAGCCCCTCGCGGGCCTTGAGGAATCATACCTCCGCCGCGGCCACCACCAAAACCACCACCCCCGCCCATGTTGTTCCCAACGAAACCACCGCCCATGCCACCCATGCCACCCATGCCCATGCCCATCATGTTGGGCATTCCACCCCGCATCATGCCTCCATTCATCATGCCTCCGCCGCGCATGCCCATGTTCATCATGTTGTTCATGCCCATCTGGTTATTCATGCCCCCTCGGAAGTTCCCACCGCCGCGTCCGGCATTTCCACTTGGGGCACCAGAGGGGATGGGCGTGCCACTTTGCCCTTGATGGCGCATCTCACGCGGAGGCGGTTCTATTTGCGTAGCAAATCAATTAGCGGGCTGTAGCGGATTGCGGAGACGATGTAAAGCGGGATGAATACCTTTGGGAAGAGTGCGGAAGGGATTGCCTTGTGCCGTACTCGTAAAGCTCACAGTTGCACGGCGGTTCTGGAAGTCACTGTCAATGGGAAATCAGCTCGCACTCACTAATACATATTCGGCACACAAACTTGTTGTCAAACCAGTTTTTAAGGGCTGCTGCGTGATCACAGTTGTGACATTCGACGTATGCCATCCTACGAATGAAAATACGATATCAATCCGTGCGGAGCCCGCATTGATTTATGCTCACCCCTTGCTTTTCCCGTTTACTTTATGCTCGGAGAAGGTAATGTCCTTGTGGTCGAGCGTAACGCCGACGTTGAGAGCGACTTGACGCACATCCTCATCAGTCGTCCACTGTAAAAAAAAATAACAATACACGATGTAATCTTAGAACAACATGCATGAGCAAGACTAAACAACTGAACAAACGGACCCATTGCAAATCTCCAATGTACAACGCGTCAAAAGCCCCCTGTCCAGCGCCTCCCCCATTTACTGATTGACTTCCGTTGGACATTCCCTGCCCAGGATTGCTACTAGGATTGCCACTAGGACTCTTTGCGCCCGACGATATCGCAGGCTTGCCATCTGACTCAGGCTTAGCCACGTCGAACTGAGCAGTGTGGTTCCCATTGGACCGCTGCTGCTCGGAATCATCTTCCTCTCTCTGTCTCTTCTCTCCCGCGACGGGAGAGCTCGAGCGTTGTTCACTGTCATGTTCGGTTTTAATAGCAAAATCTTGCGTGTCCTCCATCGACTTACACCCGGGCGCGTGAGCTCGCCACACGCTCAAAATGCTCCGCGCACTCACCTCAACGACTTTGTTAGGGTTGAAACCTTCGTCTTCACCATAAATATCGAAGTCGTCTTCAGGCATAATTACCGGTGTGACTCAAGGAGGGGAGGGAGAAGTGGGGAATTAAAACTTCGTTGCACGTCTGTGATACGACAGGAAGTTTGGAGTACCAACAGACAGGAAAGACAGATATGCAACAGGATATAGCCGGTCAGAGACAAGGAATTCGGAGTAGACGACGCCCACGTCAATGCAGCAAAGGGAGTGGCTCTTACAGGTATGGATACAAGACAAGAATCCAGACGCTCTACTGACCCCTCCAATTGCCAGAGATTACAAATAGGTTACGGCGCAAGGCCGGGCTAGGCTGCGAGAAATGCGAGCTGGTAAAAGAGCAATCGACGGGAGAAAAGAGGATGGAAGTTGGAAACAAGAGCGAGACTCGACAGAAGCGCTGTTAGCACTCGGGCGATTCATCACGTGCGTGTTATCGACCACTGCCGCCCGCCGCAATCCGAATTGTACAACTGCTGGCATCGCCGCCCGCTCCTCAGGGAGTTATTTCCAATGGCTGGGGTCAGTATAATCGACAATCTTCTCACCTTTTACTGGATAAATGCATGTATAGACCCCATTTTTCACTCGAAATATTCATCTTTCAGCATGCTACTTCTAAGCGAAGTCCGTCCTTAACTTATCCAACACTCAAAGAGATCATTCATTACTTTGCAAGTGGAAACGGAAGCCCAAACGGCAAGTTATGTAATGTCTACTCAAGATTCGACTTGTAAATTATGTCCTGTAGATGCTAGAGCATTCTCCCACTCATTACCTAGTGTACATCATCGACGACAAAATGTCAATGCTGGAAGGAGACGGTAGGACAGTAGACCCATTGCACTTCAAAGTCGTGCGTTCTTCGGCATGTTCCTGATCGCCTGACGTACCCCAAGATCTCCAAGAACATCCTCGGCTACAGTCACCATCAGCATGTGTAGTTCACATGGCGAGGACAAGAGAGCACAAACCTCCTCCCAAAATTGAATCAAACGTCACGGTTCTGTGATACTGTGCGCCAGGTCAGCCGTTGAACCATGTGTTGGAACAGTGTGCTAGCTTACATGTTCAACCACTCGACCCATGCCTGTTCTCGTAATACCACGTCCACCAAAGATTTGCACTGCATCTCGTGCAGTCTCTTGTGCAGTCTTTGTTGCATACATCTTCAGGAGTGCGATCGGTCTAGATAGGAAACAGCGTCAACATAACGTATGAGACAAAGCTGTTACTTGACGCACCCCGCGAGCGACTGTGCTTGCTGCTTGTAACCCTGTTCCTCGCAAGTCGTTCAAAATATGTGGTATTAATTATAAGGTAGCATACCATATTGCACATCTGGTAAGTGATATTCTCAACCCACGTCTGTACGCTTTCCGTGCGAGCGATCATGGCCGCAAGTTTCGAGCGAATGACAGCTTGCGAGCTGAGAGGCTTCCCAAATGCCTTACGTTGATTGACCCATCTACCAACATGATCATGAGAGTTGGGTGAGCAGTGCAGAGTCTAAATATTAGAATACTGACTTCAAACACTCCTCGACAACATTACGCTGTATCCGCGCTGAAGCGCAGGCCATTACCCACCGTTCGTGATTGAAGTTACTGTGAGAGCGATATCGGCTTAGGCCCTAAAATGCGGCGATTTGACGAACCTGAGAATGACGAAAACGCCACCATCGACCGGCCCTAATGTATTTTCAACGGGTACTTTGACATTGTCGAAGGTGATATAAGCTGTGCCTGCTGTGGTGGAATATGATGTCTTGATACTTTTTGTCTCAACGCCTTCATCTCTTTCAACGAGGATAACGGTGAGTCCTTTCTGGATCATTGGACTTGCGGTCAGGAAAGTAACATTAAGTTAACAAATCTACTAACCTCTGTCTTACAACCGACAGTAAAGCTAAATAAGAATGTAAGCCGTCTTATTAAATGCCCGCCCCGCAAGGACTCAACTAGTCAGAGAATCTAATGAAGGTATTAATGTACTGATATTGAGAGTAGATGCTCATACATACGTTCCATTTGTGATCCATTTCTTAGTACCATTAACAATCCAAAATTTGCCATCCTCAGATTTCTTCGCTGTCGTCTTCAACCCCGAGACGTCAGAGCCGGCGAATGCCTCAGATATTGCAAGGCTGATGTACTTCTCCCCGGAGAGTACTTCCTTCATGATGCGCTCGCGCAATTCAGGCCTACCAAAATTCATGACGGGCGGAAGACCAATGACCATTCCTCCATTAAATCCATCTTGGTATCCTCGTAATCCCAGGCGGCCAAATTCTTGATTAAGAACAAGCTGTGTCAAATTGTAAGTGAACCACATTGTGCTAAGTTTGGGTTTGGATTGACCTCGTGGAAATAATCATACTAAAGGCACCAACTCTGATAAGTTAACGGAAAGATAGACAGCGCCACTACGCACTTCCTCGGGTGCCACAGCACCGTTCATAAGCGTGAGGCCTTTCAAATGTTTTCCAGGACCCAAACGCATGGCGTTTATGTTCAATTCTCTATTAGATATTCAGTCTCCTGTTTTATTCTGCTGAAGCGCCACCTACCCCAGCTTCTTGATGATTTCGACATTTGGTCGCTTGCCATCCTCCTCCCGTGCCTGGAGAAAGAGACTTATAGGTGCACTGCCAGCACGCTGAAGATGCCACGTACCAATGCGTCGGGGAAAATGATTTCGTCTACTATCTTGCGAATTGCATCGGCCAGGCGCCGATGGCTCTACGTGACATCAGGCAAGGAAAAGACATAAAGACAGAAATAATCACCTCCTTGTAATACGGACTGAAGTAGCCAGGTGAAAGCCAGGTTGGCTCTCCGTACGGTACGGTGCTCAATTCACCCGTTCTCCGACTGTGCAGCTCACTCTTCTCGCCAGTTATAGTGCCTATCTGCAGGCGAGCATATTGCGGCTTCTCCAGAACCTCGTGACGGTGAAGACCGTAGAATACTTCGGTGGCATCTTGGCCAGCTGGTTACGAATTCAGCATTGAGTGTATAAGCGCTGGCATGGATATTGAACTAACGCAGATCGTCCGCGACGAATACACTCGCTCCTCCAGGATGCAGACCCTTAAACTTTGTCACGTCATAAACCTTGGCATCTATGACAAGCCACTTAAACAAAGCGAAGAGTAAAAATCAAGATGGCGACGCTGATTGAATTCAGACCTACCAGGTCGTCTGGCGTGTTATGCTAAGAGCACAGTGATAGATAGGGTGAGTATGAGGCCAGAATGGATGGAATGGGATACCCACCTGGGCAACTTCCTCTCTGGTGTACTGCTTAAGTTGTCTCGAAGACATGCTGTAATTTGTGCGTGGGATGACTAGGGGGCGAATGATGGTCGGGGATGGCCAGTTGAAGGTGATTCCGGGCTGTTTCAATGTTCATAAGTTAGGCATCGGTATACGAGCACAATCACATGCAAGGTCCCGGGACGGTCTTGTGATTTAGTCTATGCGCGTCTGATTTCCATTTATGGTGTAAATTCTGTTTACCTAATCCATCCTGATACGGAATGCTCTCCTCAGCCACACCCGTCCGCGACAGTGGTCTAAGTAGCTTCAGTACTCGAAGTCAACCTTCGTCCTTGTTATCACATCCTTGAATTAATTTTTGGAAAAGAAAAGAATGCATTCTGCTCGGCAAGGAGTCTCTTCCTGTTTGATTCTAATCCTCGGATTTTGATGCTCACTCGTTCAAATGGTGACGAATAGCGGACAAAGAGTTTGGGATCGCAAGAATCGAAAACCACATTCTTACGTATCGCCATGTAAGTAATCACTCTCTGTTTGGCAGCGGCCCAACAAACATACACCGGCCACACTCAAAACATTTATGAACCTTCTCTTCCATCTCTATTTGCCTTGCCCCCAATCATGCTCGACTTCAAAGGATCAGTTTCAAAATCTACTGAAGACGACGAGGAGGGGCCGATATCGGGTGGGATAATATCATTCATTGACTCTTTTTCATCTAATCGATCGTGGTCGTCTGCGTCGCCACTGGAAGCAACTCCCTCACGGCGCCCCAAGCTGCACCCCGATGACTTCGATGAGAGAGAAGAATCGTCTAATCCTGACGAGCTTCTCCTTCCGCAGACACCTCAATCACGTACCCTTTCAACCAAAGATATCGTTGGACGGAGGCGGGGATCCACCGCGGGCGGTGGCACACCTTGGCGTGCGTTGTTTAGTTCGAATAAAGATGCTCCGCCGCAATTATACTCAACTAGCTGGTTGTTAAAACAATCTCGTCTTCCTGTTGCGTCCAATGATTGCTTTGGTCGTGAAACGCGTGTTTACGACGATCATCAGCGGCGCAAGGTGCAGTCGGACCCAGATGCATCTACTTTGGGGGTATTGTCTCCGGCTCTCTTCACGGAATCATTGACCACTAGCCATGTCCGTGGTTGGCGAGCTTCGACCCGGAGATTTGATGGCTATATCCGATCGACAGAAAAGACAATTGAACCTCGCAAACTATTGCACGAATCTGGGACAAACAATGTTTACGGATCTTTAATACGCTCGTCTCGTTCTCGCAGCGTAGACTGCAGTCCTGAACGTAGCTATGACTGGCGCTATACAAGATACCCAAACTCAAGACAAAAAGACGATAGATCAGAAATTATGGATCGAACTTACACGCGACTGCCCTACAGGTTTACTCGATCTACCTATGACCTTGCGGACAGCTTGCCAACGATGGTTGATCGCGATCGGCCATTGACAACGGCCAAGAACGATCTAGCAAGACTGAGTTCTTTCGAACAGGTAGAGTTGTCATCTCGTTCAAGGTCACGGTATTTGTTTCGCACTTCGCTCGATCATTCGGATGAAGAAATGCAGAATCGACGAGGTCCAAAACGTGGTATCAATCGAATCGCTCGAGAACGAGGCTCCAAAGCTCGCCGACCTTCATCTCTTCCGGACAATTCAAAGTATGAGACAATTTTGCCGCAGGTCAACCCCTACGTGCCATCACTTTTGAACCCGAATCGCCCAGGGTACCTGCCCTTAACGTGCCCTGTCAAGAGAGTACGATCCTCATACGATAGACAAGCTTTCGTCCAGAGAAGCAGACTGTACGTACTCACCATGTGTCTATTATTTAGTCAATACTCAACCTCATATGATAGGCTTTGTCATGCCGGTAAATGCGGGCCCTGTTGGCAGTGTAAACATACATCGCCTGCGAAAGCGGCCTGGCTATCGAACCTTTGGGACCGGTCTCTTCCCGACACCTCAAATTCTACAGAGTGGTCGTTGGACGCAGACGGCGATGCCAGCATGTATGACGAAACCGAGACTTTTTGAGATTGACAAATCCAAATTCTGTCAGGCACAAAGGAGAGTTTGAAAATCTCAATTATCAATTATGAGATGAATCAAGTTCCAAGTGCCCATTATCTAGTCCCACTGCAATCCACAGTTATGGCTCGTATTACGCCGCATCCCACAAATTCATTCACTTCCTGTGTTCTATCGTGTACAGTAGTATATATACACAACCAATGTACCTTGGCGTTGAACATTGTAGCATAGCTTATAATACAGTTTTATTCTTACAACAAACAGAGCATCAGAAGATATTATATGCACGGGCCAGCGGGAGTCGCTCAGCAGGCTCAATGGTCATCAATTCACCATCTGCCCGAACCTCATATTTTTCCGGGTCCACCTGCATCTTCGGTGTGGCACGATTCCATTTCATGTCTTTCTTAGTCACGTTCCGGCAGTTTCTGACCGCTTCACAGCGCTTCGAAAGCCCGTAGCCCCGCACGGTGCCCGATTCAATCGAAGCCGCTGAGACAAACGCGACAGAGTTCAATGCCGCAGACATCGGAAGTGCACCCCACATCGGCCGCCCGATGACGGGTTGTACGGTTGGAATGGAGGCGTTTGCGTCACCCATCTGTCAGCACATCTTCAGCATCCGGTGACTCGAAGCTCCCAAGACAACTCCATACGGACCTGCGCCCACACAATCACGCCCGACTTGAGCACCATTTCGGGCTTCGTGCCGAAGTTCTCCGGTTTCCATAAGACGAGGTCCGCCAGCGTCCCGACGGCGACCTGCCCGACCAGATGACTCACGCCGTGCGTGATGGCACTGGCCCGACGGAGATGGGAATTCGTGATGAGCACGGAAGCAAACGGACGAGAGCGTCTGGGGCATCGACTCACGGATTGATGGTGTATTTGGAGACGTAGCGCTTGACGCGCGCATTATCTCGGCCTGGCGCATCGCCCAGCGACGCTAAGGGGCCCCGGAACTCGCGCAGCTTGCTCGCAGTCCGCCACGTTCGGCTGATGACCTCGCCCACACGGCCCATAGCCTGAGAATCGGAGCTAATCATCGAGATGGCTCCAATATCGTGCAACACGTCTTCTGCTGCCACTGTCTCTGCACGGATGCGCGACTCGGCGAATGCGAGATCTTCGCAGATGGACCTATCGAGATGATGGCAGACCATGAGCATCTGTGCGATAGGGATATCAGGTCCGAGAACGCTTTTCAAGGCCGATATGGCTCACGTCCAAATGCTCATCGAGCGTGTTTTTCGTATATGGACGCGTGGGATTAGTTGAGGAGGGCAGCACATTGTCTAATTCACAAACGGTGATGATGTCGGGAGCGTGTCCCCCGCCTAGGTAAAACCCAGTCAGTCACGATGGTTTGGCAGGTCTCGGTTGCGCTCACCAGCCCCTTCGGTATGATAGGTGTGGATGGTGCGATTGCCAAAAGCTTCAATAGTACCTAGCCAAGATTAGTAGAAATAGTCGATTATGATCGCAACGAAGACGACTCACTTTCAACAAAACCACTCTCGTTCAGAGTGTCCGTGTGGATGTTGACCTGTCATCGCAATTTTCAGCGCGGGTAATCTCACATAGTATGGATGGATGAACCTGGACATCGTACTTATCGCCCACGTCCAGACAATTGGAGATCGCTGACGGCGTGGAACCCCAGTCCTCATGCAGCTTCAGTCCGGCAGCGCCCGCGACGACGACCTCCTCTAACGCCTGTGTGCCTGAGTCATTCCCCTTCCCTGTGAAGGCGAAATTCATCGGGAGCGTATCCGTCGCGGCAAGCATGTGTCGGATGTAGAATGGACTCGGGGTACAGGTCGTCGCATTTGAGCCGGAGCTAGGCCCAGTACCGCCACCAATCATCATAGTCACGCCCGACGCGAGGGCCTCCGGAACCTGTTGAGGACAAATGTAATGGACATGCGCATCGATGGCGCCGGCAGTGACGATTAGTTTTTCTCCAGCAAGAGCTTCGGTTGAGGAGCCGATAATCAAATGTGGATGTACGCCTTCCATGATATCCGGGTTACCCGCTTTTCCTATACCCACTATTCTTCCCTGCCTGACTCCAATATCTGCCTGCGTATATGCACATAAGTATCTTGGAGTCAAGGTATTGTTGGCAGTGAAACCTTGTAGATTCCACTCCAATCAACGATCAGCACGTTGGTGATTACAAGGTCGAGAGCATTCAAGTGTGACCGGTTTGTTGCTTGGCCCATACCCTCGCGAATGGTTTTGCCTGTACGGAAACTCAATACTTTCTAAATCGCTTGCACGAAAAGTTTACCTCCTCCGAATTTGACTTCGTCACCATAGACCGTCTGTCACAGACACCTCCATATCAATGAAATTGACACATTCGGGGGCCCAGATGAACCTCACCTCGTCCCGCTCGACTTCAATCCACAGTTCTGTATCACCCAGCCTCACCCTGTCGCCCACTGTTGGTCCAAACATGGCGACGTATGTTTCCCTGCTCATCTGCGTATCCGAGAATATTTCCAGCGCACGAGGCTCGGGAACATGACCGAAACCTCTCTGAATCAAATTGGCAATGATGTTATCTGCTCTTGTCAAATCAACTATACCGGAGGCAAGCCGGTTCCCGCCCGTGATCTTTTTAAGTCCTGCAATGGCGCATAGAGTGACGGGTTTGGTCTCTCCAGGCTCGAATCGTACTGCCGTGCCGGCAGGGATGTCCAAACGCTTTCCGTATGCCCTGGCTCTGTCAAAAGCGAGCGCCTTGTTGGTCTCGATGAAATGGTAATGCGAGCCAACCTGCAGACAAAGCTGCTGAACTGTGCGAAACGCAACAGCCAGCAGCGAGACATACCTGAATAGGGCGATCACCATTGTTTGTCACGCTGAGTCTAACACGTTCACGTCCAAGATTGATAGTGATAGGCTCCTTTTTGACAATGACCGCGCCAGGGGCGTTCTCGCGGGTGTATTCAGATGAGACAAACTCGGGGAAGGCATCGTCTGACGGGACGGGGAGAAACGAACCGTACAGCGCGTCCGACAGGTCGACTGTGTCGTTGCATATAGGATCATGTACAGTCACGAGAAAAACGCTGTAGAACGGATTGAGTATATCGAGAAGTGAACTTGCTGTGGTCGGCATTACGCACCCGTCATGAAATGTGCCCTCGACCTGGATCTCGTGGAGGAGGCTGGATACGCCTGGTAGAACATGTCTCCTGCCGAGGAGGGTTCTGCCATGATGCATCAATTGTGTGACCGAGTGCTTGCCATCTCGTATGCGTTCCTGTAATTGAGATGCAATCAAAGCTTCGGCCTCTGTCTGGTTCAGCTGGAGGCCTCTGGCGAGACGCTTTTGGGCGATGAACCCAACCTGTGTCGCATTGGATCGGTAGCTGGTCAGGTAAGGATCGGATTTGGTCCAACCTGGGACAAAAGAAGCTTTGCCTCTTCCCTGGGTGCAAGCCGCATAGCTCTCGCTCGGAAATGTGCAGGCCAGACAGTGAAGGGCAGCACAGAAAGAGTGTTGATTTGGTGAAGAGACGCAGACTGGTCGCAAAGATAAGATTGGGCTCAACGGGCGATAAGAAACTCGTGTTGATGGTTGCGGGTTCCAACGACTCTTTCAACCTCGCGTCGCCAGTCTGCTTTTACTTTCCTTTGCTCTCCTTCCTCGTCAGCTGTTACCGCTCGAGTTTTGCTCCCCACGGCTGTTTCTCCCTATGGATCTCGACTGAGCTGTGCGGCGACGCGTCTCGCCAACCGCCAGGCACGGAGGCTGTTTGCTGTTCTCGTCCGACGTGGTTCAGAGCTCACTTGTGTCCAGCCATGTCCCGCTGCGGCAGGCAGCTGTCTTTCTTCAAGCCATTGCGGAGGTATTCCCACTCCAAGGCCGCACACGCTTCAGTCACGGAGGCAGGGCGGCGGTAGCTCATTGTCCTACTTATCACCTGGCGTAGAACACGCGGACACGACGATACAGCCTCGGCTCTACTCGATGCCTTACTGGCCCTCGCCGTCTGCCTGAGCGTAAACCACCGCAAATGCTGGGATGGACGTCCGAGAATGATGCAGACCAGCCGCAACTGATATTCATGTATATCACTTGATGACTCGCACTGCCGCATATGTTATGAACCAGATCTGGAGGCGTGGGTGCGGCGGCCAGCCATGTTGTGTGGGCGAGGTACTTATCCATTGCAGAATTCAATTGTCCTCGGCTCGGAGCACAGCAGCATGGATACAGCATGTCGGCGAGGGCGCTGCGGGGCGCCCACGGCCGAGTCACGGCACAGCCCGCTTTCTCCTTCTATGGCCACGAAGTCACGTGCGGGCCCTGTCTGTCCGATTCATATCCGCGACCGAGCTGGGATGCTTTGTCTCCCGTCCCATCATTCCCCTTGTGAGCCCATCAGCGGGCACACCTCGCTTATATTCCCTCTATCATCCATGACCTGCTCTCCATCTCTCTCCTCGTCCTCCACCTCCCCGTCAGCCTCCAACTCCCGCAAGCGCAGCATGTCCTTCTCCGCCCCGCTACCTCCTCAAAAGTCTGCCCGCACCCTCCGTCGCACAGGCTCGTATCTCTCACTCGAAGATATGCAGACCGCAGTGGAGACCACCCTCTATGGCCGGAATGGGGCGCCCTCTTCTCTCTATGCCAATCCCTCTGCCGGTGCCCCGCATACACGCAGTTTGCGCCATTACAAAGACGAGCGAGACCGTCGGAAAGCGACGCTCCGGTCCTCCAACACCGTCGTACAAATGCCTAGTATCACTGTCACCACTTCTCACATACCTTCTCGTATACCGATTCCTCGTCTACGGACATCGTCTCCCCTCGCGCCCGCACCGTCCGTCCTGCCTGCGCGCACCGCTTTCCCACGGTCCAAGCCAGAGCCAGACCTCTATCGTGTGGCGATTACCACGCGCATGCGCATGTCGCCGGAGGGTCGCAAAATCCTCTACATGGGCCCGCGTCTGGCGCTTTCGATGTTGACTGCGACCCAAGAGCTCGAGCGGTCCCTGTTTTCGGCAACTACGGAGCTCGAACAAATCGTTGCGGCGCAGCGGGATGCAGACAACGACATCGTTATGGCGGATTGCGATGTTTCATTGGGCAAATCGTGGGTGGTTGTGTCCTCTGAGGACTGGGAGATGATTGATCGTGGTGCTTAGGCTTCAGAGGAGACCCGGTGCCCATGGCAGCCTCTAATGACCATCATCGACGAGGAGATGGAGATACGACGAAGATACTTCCGCGCCGTGTGGATACAGGCCCGCACGTCGCACTCGCATGGCAGCCACATGAACGGACTAACGGCGCACGTTGTGTTGCGTGTCCTATGTTTATTTACTTCGAGTCCAGGCTAGGTTCTGCTCATTTTAATTCACCCAAATTCCTTTTGGGATCGCGTTGACAGTTGATTATGGGATGGACATTGTTGTATTCGATATGTGGTTCATCGATAGCGTACGATGTGTGTAGCAATCATGTAGCCTTTGCTCGTACTGGGCTGTTCATTTTGCAGTGAAAATTCACCTGTTTTCGCGCATACAGTATGGAAAGAAGTGTCCTTCGCAGGTGTGGCACAGGTTGACAGATGCCATCTGCTAACTCCGTTCATGGACTTGCTTACACGCTAGTGGTGATGGATAATGCTCCATTGATTCATACAGATCTTATAACAGCTACATCAGTGACAGTGTAGAATCCCAATGGCAACCGGAACAGATGAGCCATGTCGGAGACAATGAACGGTGTATCATGTTGGCATCTGTGGACGAGAAACGCGCTTGGGATGATGTTGGCTTACCACACATCCTCTCGCATCGCCTGCGAGCCCGCAACAGGTCCACAGCAGCTGGCCAAGTTTGAGCGACGACGTTCTCCTCGCCCGCGAGTCTTCATAGATTTCACTCCAGCTCGCGATCCTCTCGTCGTCGTCGCAGAGCGCACCTGGGGGAAGAATCCCATCCCATCACGTCAGCCACGAACACATTGACGGTTGCCCTCCGATGGGCACCCACGCACCTGGGTGATATCTGCACTCTCCCATCAGGCGTTCGCGACCTGCGTCATACACAGTGCGACAGTGCCCACATGTGTCCCATCGGGGCACAACGTCGCCATCCGCCGGCACGCCACGACGGCTCGGGCGGTGCTTCACGGTGAGCAGCATCGCCGACAAGGCGGCCTCGGAGCTCGAGTCCGCTTGCGCTAATGCTATCAGGCTGTTATGGAGCCACTCTGGCGGGCACGCGGGGAGAGCGCGGCACAGCGCACGCAGGCGGACCCCGCGGTCTGCGCGCAGAAGCTGCTCCGTGATCTCGGCCGTTTTGAGTGCCTCGGAGGAGAGGGGCAGGGGGTCAGCGGTGTTTGAGCTATCTTCCGCCAGCCTGGTCAGAAAGTCTTTGTCCACCATGCTGACATTGCTGTCGTCGGCGGAGATCATGCTCATGTCGGACATGGAGACGTTGCTGTCCATCGAGACATCCGGGTCAGACATTGTTGAAGCTTTGACGTTGTTCACTACGCTGCTTCTTGAAAACAGGCTCCTGCATCAGCGAATTCCCGTGAGTACTGACTCCAGAGTCTACGCTCACCTTGTTCGTGGTTGCGGAAGTTTGGTACCGAAGAGCTGAATCACTCACCGTTAAACCTGGCACAAGACAAAGGGGGGCCACAGCTGCTCTCGCCACAACATACCCTAAGAAGCGCTCGAGCAGGCCACACCGATAGCACCCGCCACTTGCCAGTGGCAAGTAGCGGATGCTACGATAACCTCAGTATTCCGCGAAGAGTCCAGTGAACACACATTATGTCAAATAAAAACGATGATATCTTCACTGCAATGCAAGCCGCAAGAGTATAGATGTCATCACGAGGCTGAATCTTAGTATCTGGTGCGTTTTGATCTCGGGTCATCGATATCGTGCTCACTCGGCTTTCTCTATTTACATCCGTCGGCTCTGGCATTCGCCTCGCAGCAGGGCCAGATGAATCTTTTGGGATACTTCTTCCGATTCTCGTCCTTATCTATGATATCATTATATCTAACACACGTCCTAGTCATCCCACCTTTGGTGGTCGACGACAATCTCGCCTGAAACACCCAAAAATGGATTCGATAGCGACCGAATAGATGCCGACACACCTGGATGATACAGACATTCTTCCTCAACCCAGCGGGTGCTGACGTCGACTTCCTCCTCGCAGGTCCTGCATACGTCTCACCTAGAGATGCATCGCTCCTCCGACCTCTTTCGCTTTCCGCTTCTCAATCTTAGCCTCGTGAAAAGCTCTCGCCAAAAGGCGCGTTCAAGGTCAAGATTCCCACACATGAAATCCATCACCATGCCTCGCAGTCTTTCTTCCAAACACGCAGATATTGCACCGCATAGTTCCCGACGAGCCTTATCGTCGAGCTCGATTTCGTTTTCCGCATCCGAAGCGGACGAAGTGTCTGATTCTCTCCCCAAGTGAGAATCAGTCCAAATCCCGCACGGAGTGTGAGCCCGACAACTCAATAACGTCCGGCATCCCTAGTGGCTATGAGTCATGAGCAATGATTGTGCAGCAGGAGAGGTCACCGCACTTTTAGCTATATACTAACCTCCCTCCCTCGTTCAGGCATTGCTATGGAGATCGCGAAAGGTGAGTCATAATGACTAGTCGTCGTTGACAATCGAGTGGCGGGGTGCCTGGCTCTCGTGGCCAATAGCAACGCACCGATCTTGATCGTGAACGCGAACAGGTTACTTCTCCCCTACACTTGCTAGCTGGTCAACGAGCGAGTGCAGAATGCAGTGTGTGGATCAACTCTTCAAGTATCATCTGGTAGATGTGCTAGGAAATAGCATACAAGAGGCATGGGGACGTCAAAAACTAAAACCAATCGAGTGACATTAGTGCTTGACGCGATTTTGATCAGCCTGAGGTCCACTGATGCATGCTTGTCTTCTTCGCAACCAGAAGTCCCGCCACAATATCTGCAGCAAGACCAGTTGTAATTCTCTGGATACTCGTCGCAGCTGTGCTCTGCGTCAATGGGAACATGACAGTTTTCATCCCAGTCAGCCCATTCGTCCCAATTGACTTCCAGAAATCTTAAGCACAGAACATCACCATTGATGTGTGGCAAGCACAGGAACAAAGACAGGGCGGCTCATCTGGGTGATACTCATACTCTCCATGACTTCGTTGCGTGCGAACGTCAAACTACTCGTTGCAGTTGGTGCAGATCGCCCACTGTGGTCGTGTCGGAATCAGTCGGTTCAACGACTTCCGCCGCTCCTGATAGCGTATCTGTATTGAAGGCGACTACAGTGTCAGCAGCGACTCTTGAAGCCATCGGAGTATTCACAGATATCCTACCGCAATATGGGTTTAGTTCCTAGCCTTGCGTTCACTTCACACCTACGAGAGGAAGTGGTGCAGACCTCAGAGTGCTAACATTGACAAGTTGGGCATTCGAGATGAGCGATCTGATGTATAGTGCACGTGAGGCGGGTGCCACCTTTGAAATTGTGACTTGTTGATTTTGCTGTACGGCGGCCCTCTCGACAGAATGCTTATTTACATTCTTTGCACTTATATCTCTTTTGAAGCTATAGTATTCTCGTGTGGCACTTCCCATCTGATCCAGTGTCATCAACGACATACTCCCTGCTGTCATCACGGTTCAGCAACATCATGTAGCAAGAATCCATGGCCTCCCGGTGCAAGCTGCCTATCTAGCCGACTTTCGGACCTATTTTCTCAACCACCTGGAGTTGCGGCTGAATTTTTTACTGGCAATGGTGGAAACTTCTACCCTTTCTGGGTCCGCCTGAATGTTGAACGGCTGTGAACATGACATTTTCCATAAGATATCCGGATCAGGCACCACTAGGATTGATCGTGATGGCTGATGCTAATTTATGGCTGCGCATACACTGTGGCTGGTATCAAGTCAGGAATGCGGGTACAGCGTAGGTATATGTCCCCGTCCAACCTCGTTTCCGCAAAGTTTAGACTCATCTCGCCGATATTGATACAGACGCAAGCTCCTCAGTGTCGTTCGAAATACGATAGGTCAGCCCATATGCAGGAGGTGACACTATCACTACTATGGGTGCCTATGGCTTTATCGGCGGCACTCCGCCCTAGCGGGATGCTGTTCGATCCGTCGGCTGGCTGCAGACATGTTCAGCGTTCAAGGTCATTCGATATTTCTCACATGTCGTCCAGATGAACTTCTTCATGGGAGATCCCTTCTGCACTAGCTTCGCTGTAGAAGATTTGCCGTTATGCGATCTTCCGGGATAGATCATGGACGCAAATTTCCTAGTACCAGGGCTTCGTGGTTACTACTTCTGTCGAGGAAACACGCAACCCGCCAAGACGTCACAGACATTCCCCAACGACCTGACGGGCGTCGGATAGTTTTCTCTCCTCCGTCTCGGGACGGAAGGTTGCTCCGGCTTTTCCGCTGGTGACTAACTTCAGTATCTAAACATGCAGGAGACGATCATGATATCAGGCCCATCCGTGTCTTCCAGCTTCATGACAATACCACCCTTGCGCCTATCGCCTGGGTAAACGTCAAAAGCTTCACTTTTTATCGAGAGACACTCCCTCATGCGCACTTGATGCGGACGTTTCAAGTTATGGACAGCCTGGACAATCCATCCAACAATTCAATAATACCTTTTATGTTTATGAAACTCGCATGTGCAATCGCGACTGATGGACGAACGACATTCATGTGCGTCAAACAAACGATACTGTCTTACCGTGCCAATTTCAGCGGCAAAACACAAGTACAAGTCGACGGTGTTGTGCAGCACGAGCTCGGACACGCCTTTATCTGACAGTACAAGCTGCGACGTTTCAAACTGGTTCAAGCCACCGCGCTCGCCAACGGTGACGTACCGATCGTCGATCTTGATCCCAATCGCACGTGCGGCCTGATCACTGCGCGCTTTCTCCCGAACCTGACCACTGCCGCCTGCGTCTCCTCCGATACTCGCTTGGGCAGGCCTCCTCCACGCTCGCCATGTCCTTCAACGCAGCAGGGGACGTCTTCACCGGCGGTAAGAGACGTATGATCACCCACGCCTCCGGGAGCACTCGAGAAATTTACATCGATCTTTCGTAATTCAACGAAGACGAATCCGAAATCTGCGTAGAACGTCGTTATGTGTCGCCATTATACAATTGGGATTGATTCCCGTGATCATAGGGTGAGCATGCCACTTGCTCGTGGTCTTCCGGTTGTCTTCTGGACTCGTAACCGACGGACCACGCGTTCCACGAGCTTTGCTATCAGTTCTCCGTCTCGCACTGCCTGCTCAATGGATATAAGTGCATGCCTGGCTATCTGACAGCGGATCGGACGTGCTGCACGCTGAGTGCTCTGTCGCAGGGTCGGTGAACAATTGATCTATTCAAATAGTAGGGCGCCGACAGCCATTGCCGATCATCTCGACTCTCGAGCCATGTCCTTGGGCGAGCAGTCCGTCGTTTTTGTGCGTGCCTTTCCCGAGTGGCAAGTCCGGGAGACTGGAGTGCACCGTGCCTCTTTTTACCTCCCGGGCCGAGTCCCAGCTCGGCGGCTTGCTGCTTCCGCCCTTTGTGTCTTCAAGGACGGACATCCATGGGCCATTCTTATCTACTCCGTCACTCGGGAACAGCCTTGGCGGACGGACTACGAGACCCACGCCAGCGGCCAGATTCGCTTCATCTATCCTTATCGGAGGCTCGTCCGGTTACAGAGCCCGATGCATTTGCCTCTACACGACGCCGGTACGTAATTACAAGTCAGCTTGCCTCTGTTCGCCTGCAGCCCTCCGTGGAGCTGGGGCGCACCTAGTCAGGATCTTCGTAGCCTCACAGTTGACAGAATGAGGGAAGTTTATGAAACGCATCAGCACTACGGGAGAACGCAGAGGCGTGCACATGGCGCCCTCTTGTATATTAGCGCTGGGCTCGGAAGTCGCAACCACTCGGACCAACGCCTGAACTGAATTCTACCGAAGAGGAAATACAGCAACAATACATACAAAAGCCATCGACGCAGTGGGACTGTATAATGCATACGCACCGGCTACAGAGTGAGAGAGATACTATTCCTACATGATGTATAATCCCGGGATACCCCAAAGTTGGCAAGAACAGTATACCCATACAATCTCGGACCGAAATGGTACGCTCGGCACGTTCCATAAGTTTTGGGTTCTTCCATGCTACACGGACTTCAAGATGTCCTCGAGAGGCGCTGCGATCTCTTCCGGATTACCTATCCAGCGGATGATCTGGTCTCTTATGGTGATAACAAAGACTGCGACGACCTCCGTGAGCGTGTGCTTTGCGGGACAAGTGGCGGCTTACCGAGTGGGATAGAGAGATTCTGCCCTGGCTCGAATAGTGCTGCAGCGGGTAAGAAGAAAGCCATCCGTGAGTGAGCGCATGACCCCAACAACATGCACACCTTCGACGGCAACACGCTCCGAATCAATATAAATTGGGTAGTCCATATCGTTTCTTGAATCGATAAAGTTCTTCACGACGGCCCTGTCTATCTCCGCCTTTGTAAATATGCCTTCGTGGTTGAACGTGATAACCTTAACATCGGGCTCCGTGGCAACAATGTTCGACAGGATGCCGCACACCACATGGCACGGCTGCGGCGGACCATTCAGTTCTGACAGAGAAGTGGCCGCACGACCACACACGTACTCGACACCACCTGCGAGGAGGAGCGGCGCTGTCAGCGGACGTGCATGCCGCCCGAGGCGCAGTGTGCACTCACGACGCCCAATATTCTATGATGAGGACCTTCTTGTCCCGCCAGTCATCCTTGCTCGGGCGGATGCATTCGAACTTGTCCATGTCGAGCCACTCTAAATCGGTCTTGCTGCCCAGAAGAGGGCTGGTCCATCCTGGGCGCAGGAATGCCGGGGGACCCTTCCTCATCTGGTCCTCTAAGGCATCCCACGCGGGCAGGCGCGCCTTTTTCATAAATCTAGTGACGACGACGGGATCATGTGCCGCCTTGAATCTAGCTATGCACCGTGTCAGCGCGCGTGTGTTCAGCGGAATGCCCGACTGTCTGACTTACCGACGGCGGCATCCCATAGTTCTGCGCGACAAGTGCGCGCGTGGGTCGATGGGCAGGGTGAGAACCACGGCGTGTGGAGGGGATAGAACGCCTACCTTGATCCCATTTATCCTCGTAATAGGGCTGGAAGGCGGACCAGATATTTACTCTGAAGTCGTTCATGGCAGCAAGCTCCTCCGGAGATTCGTGGGACGATGGGAACGCCATTTCCGATAAGAGATGAGAGACAATGTCTGGGAAGACAGGATTAGAGGTAGCGAAACGGAATGGATATGGGCAAACATACCGACGAAGAGGGAAGAAAAATATGGGAAGGGGAGAGAGACAGCGGATTTGAGAGAGGGATGGAAATGACCATGGACGGCAGCATCAAAAGACAGGATAGGGGCTTTAACATCAAGGAGCAGGTCGGAGCAGACTGATAAAATGGATGCGCGCACAAATCGGTCTGGGCCGACTCATTAATCAAACTGCTAGAATCGCCCTTGCCGCCCCCATCACGTACGTAACTCAAAATTACCTCTTGACATCAGGAACAACATGGCGTCAATAAAAAACCTGGACGTTGAGGGGTTTGAACCCTCGACCTCATGCAGTGTTGTCATCACCCTCGATGCAAAGCAGGCGCGCTACCACTGTGCCAAACGCCCATACGAGTACTCCACGTTTTTAATATATCTACTTTGAATACAAGTCATTTGCAAGTCAATTGTAATTGATATATTAACATTTAGTTAACACTCACTATAACGTGACGACAAATGGATTGCCTAGTGCTATTTGACAGTTTCTTATCGGGTTGCCTCTCGTGATTATATCATTAGATAGTCTTATAATTTGTAACCGTATTTGTCCTACATAATTCGGATTCATTACAATTCAGACACTTTGTCTGAACACCGAGCTCGAGCCCCACTGTGAGCATGGGAAGGACCTACAAGCTGATCAAACGTACGCGTGCGCGTGATACCCAGATTTCCAATTAGCGGTAGAGCTCCCATTCACCTCATGATTCATGACATCGACATTTCATATTTCCATTGGTGGGACATGTAATTGGTCCACAACAGCCGGCCACTTTGACAGGCAAAACGCAAGCGCAAGCTACATATATTGACACTATCGATACAATGGCGGGAATAGAACTCGGACGAGAATGGGTCGGAATGATAATACAAATCGGATCTCCGAACCCCGCACCTGCTTAGCGCGAGATCAGAGACACACGTTTACACGAGCGAGTGAACAAAAACTAAGAATCTTCGGTTTCCGTACAAGTTCCCCGGTCCCTGAGACTCTCGGTGCAGTTCAGCGACGAGATCCCCACGGCCAGAAGACTGGTACGGATCTGTGTGGGATGGATTTCAGCATTGCCGTTAATTAGTGCGAGTTTCAAGAGAAGAGCCATGACGCCGAAGACGTAAAACAATGACAGCGGGGGAAAGCCGTTAGTCCTGCCCTACATCAAGAATAGGGTGGAAAATCAAATTGCTCAGTCACCAGTAAAAAGACGAATATTCGAGGCACCATCCTACTTCCCCTAACAATAGGATAGTCATAGATAATAGCATCGGCGAGAAAATGGCATGATCTAGACCAGAAGTTTGCTCAAGCTTGAGATGCTGGGACTAGAAGACGTCATGCCGCGCATGCTGCAACAGAAGCAGAGAACATGACGGCAGACAAGCTCATCAGGCTTCCAAAGTCTTTATGGCTGGTGAAAGAGGGTCCGTTACGCGGACGAGAACAAGGTCCAAGCGAGAAAAAAAGGGGATAACAAATGCGGAGCGCAACATTACGACAACTGTAATTGCGTGGATGTGAGGTGCTGTAATATCAGACTAAGCATGATACCCTGAACTAAATGGATATCTTGCGGACCCGGCGACAGCACATTTCATTATGAGACGCCACTCACCGCTTATACTCATGCCAGTTCGGATCATCGCCGAACTTTTGATCGCCTGCCTTCTAATTGGCACGAGCCAGCATCGTCAGCAAGGGTGCACAGGTAGCATTTCCACGGACATACCTCAAGGGGAGGTACACCTGATACCTTCCGAAGCAAGAACCACATCAGCAGAGGACTCCCGCCAGCTAGAACCCACGTTGCCTGCGGAAAGAAGACGGTTTGCAAACTCTTCAGAGAAAGCAGCCAGATACCGGTCCAAAGGCCGACCTCGCCAACGTAGCTACAGAACGCGGTAAGACATCGTATGAGTGGAAGGAAAAAAGTCGAGGGACAGAAAAGCGCGCACTTAGGGTGGCGACTGATGCTCCAAAGCCCATGTGTAATAAATTTTTCGTCGTGTTTTCTGTTGTTCTTTGCGTTACGCCAAGCAGTTTTCTGATGGTCAGCAACTGAGACGAGGTATGTTAATGCATGCCGCGAACCAGAAGGCCAGAGGAAGTGTAAGGTGGGCTCGGAACCAATCATAACGCACCAATCTCAAACAGCCAAGAGCCGGCAAAAAGAGCAACAGAAAAATAGTCAAGAGCAGATAGTGGAGGATGGGCGACAGCGGGAAGGCTGTTCGCCTTTTAATGGAGTGAATCAGCGGAAAGTGATAAGTCAAGGACGTAAAACACGCATACGAGATAGACAGGTAAACCGGCGACGAACACCCACGTGGCTGCGATTCAAGTTAATTAGATGTTGTGACGTATATTACTTCCACCACAAAATTACATACCTTGGCCCACCCAGAATCCAGTAAATTTGGCAGGGTTATGCTTGACTCCATCAAATCTAGAGTCACCACCAGCTTTGAGAGCTCTCTGCAATTCTAATAAGTTTACGAAGTTCAAAAAATCGGCTCAGACAGGCGCATACAGTGACCAAAAAGCCGCCAAGGCGCGTGCTCCACGCCAGAATGGCGGCATTCAGCAATAGTTGACGTGGCGAAAAGCTGGTAAGTGGAGGAAGAGCGGTCAAAGTGCCATCCCAGTACTTGGCTTTCACCGAGGGGTAGTATAGAGATACAAAGGTGGTTGAGACGAATCCGAGTGCTCCGCCGAGATCAAAAAACTTCTCGTTTGCCTGGGGCACAAATATGGCAGCTAGCACTATAGTAAATCGGGGGCAACATATTATGTTAGATGTTGCACGCTGAGAAATATAGACATGCTCACAAGTTTGAAGACCATATGCGCTTATTGCAGTAGGAATGAGACTAGAAAACAGTGGCATAATTACTGGGGGGTGATGCTTCTATGCAATCCGGCATCAGCTCGTCAGTAAGGTCGAAGATGTGCGTTGCGAATATCAACGCACGGTATAAAGGATAAACGGACAATGTTGGGAGAGCAAACAAGGTCGATGGCCTGACGGCGACAACAGCGGACAGAAGGCAACCCCTTGATTTGGAACTCCGTCCGAAGCTGTCAACCGTCCAAATCCGTGCTGGTCTTCGCTCTTAGCACACTATATTCATCGTCATTGCCTCTACGAGATACATCACACTCGCCCTCACTCAAAGTTACCTACTGACCAAGGAATCGCTATTTAAGAAGCGCAGCACTGTCGAAAATAGCTCGGCGGTCATCCACAATACACCTCAGGAATCCCAGTGGCCAAGCAATCAAATATTGGAAAACTCGCGAGAGGATTTACTGTGAGGTAGTCATGGAGTCCCGTTAGCACTTAACACCCACACTACTGTTTCAACGGTCACGCTCATGTGCCTGTTACCGCGGGATGCGGGTCCGGTTGAGTATCTACACAAGTAAGGCTCTGCTCAACATGCAGTGAGTGTAAAATCGTCGCATTGACCAAGCTCACCATGAGATGTTTGGAGCAGCCTCACATTCAAGAATTCGTGGGGCACAAATCGCAGCATCAATCATCAAATAGTGCGCTTGTGACATAGCTTGTGGATCAGTGCTAGAAACAGACGATCATACTCTTCTTGACGAGAAAGACAAGCGGTTGCTCGGATACGGTGCGCCGTCATTAACCCGAAAGGAGAATACTGTGCAGGCGATCAACTTCTAACGATTTAGAGAGGTTGCTGTCTGGGATCCCAATACACAATTCGGATCGAGATAGAAGAAGATTAAAATCCATTGTTGAAGTGGTATAATAATTACTGGACTTGCAGATGTGGCCTGATCAGGACGAAGGAAGAAGACGTGTGGCCCAGTTGTGCGATTGCAAGGTGCAGAAGACAAAGTTTTCGTCTCTATTGAACATAGACATGTGAACGAGAGCGCAACAAGTGTAACACAAGATGCAGGAATCGTCGCATAGGCAAGGCTCGTTTACAAGCGGGCGGTAGTACGTGGCCGCCGAACTTGGAGTGACGGAGGTAGTTGCCTGTTAAGGATACAAATCGGGTTGATGAATCTGAGATTTGGGATCTGAGTGACGTGACTATCACGTGAGCGCTACTTCCGGCCAGGATGAATTCTTGAATCTGCACTACAGCCACAGGGACGGTATAATTTGTGTCAACAGTATCTGCCGTGCGCCCGTCGATCGAGGTTGAGTATGTACGTTCCTATGATTCATAAAACGCTTAAATAACCGTCAAGAAGATTTATAGCGTTGGTCGTGTACCCACCACGACACTCAAGCTGTTTAATGGTCCCGACTATGCCAATACAATGTGTGTTCACTCTTATAGTTATCCTACGAAGTTTTTGTCTAATGACTACTTTGCACTCAACCTGTCATGGATATATACAACGTGCTTTCACGCGCACTCTGATGAGTCCTACACAGCCGGCAATTTTGCGCTCTGAGGATTCCGTCTAGAATGCCGCTCCTCAAAGTTGATATAAAAACTGATTGCTTTCGGTATTCAGGATTCCATTATCTTGCGTGTCCAATGTATATGACCGCTCTCGAGTAATTTCGTATAGGAAGCTGTGTTCTGTGGACACTTTGGGTATCTAAGTAACCCGGACCCTGAGACCTGCTGAACGACGCATTTTGATCAATTGAGTGAATGTGACTAGAGTAGTCGCGTGGAATTTCAACCTGGACATCATTTCGGGCAGGCCTATTTTCTATATAAATCGTTTTCTGCAGGCTTCAATTCCAAGATGATGGAGGTCAACCCAGGCCTTGTACGCTACTTTTTGTCGCGAGGTCATTTTCGACGCAGTTCAGCCTTGAGATCATCTCTGCTAGGTGTCATCCGAATATCTTATGAGATAAAAGTAATTGTCCCCTACCTCAGGTTTGTGCGCAGGTGAATTGGTTGCCTCGCAGCAACGCGCCACAACTGAAGATCCAGATCTCACGGTTTCCTGACAGTGGCAGCTGCGTGACTTGCTTTCTCCTCTCACTGTCCTCTGTGCCGTCTGGTCCGGGCCCCTCAAACTTATTCCATCTTCCTCGGGTTATTCTAACAGATGAATGTTCAAAAAAGTTCTGCTCGTGTCCCGAAACGTCATGAATGGTGGATATTGTCTACTGACACCAAACAGCCACGGTCCGCGGCGCAAACTAGAGACAACTCCCCCCAGGTTTGTCTACCCGTAGTGATATACCCACTCGAATGTTTACGATCATCTGAAAAAGGTCAGCGCCTTATTAACACCGCGGACTCCGTTCGCGATATTCATCTCTGCCCCCACATAACTTCCTCTGTACATGCGCGAAAATTATTTGGGGCCGCTATCAACATGCTTATCTCTTGATTGGGTCATCTACATCACCTGCATAATGCATTTACAGATAAGTATCAAGCACAGAATTACTAGAATACACTTCTAAAAGCTGGGTTTGGCAGCAGAACACAATGGATACAAAAAATCCCACTAATCCGTGTCGAGGCCTTACTCTCCTCCCATGTCTGACTCTCCTTCTGCATCTGCATCCGCATCATCCTCTCCATCTGCATCATCCTCTCCGTCCGCATCTTCATCGATCTCTCCTACTTCCATCGAATCATCTCCGTCCATCCGCTGCGCACCCGGTTCACTCTCGGGTAGGAGCTGCGTTGCGATTACACCCGGGGATATCTTTTCCGAATCAGCGAGCGCATCTTCTGGCACGAAAACTGTGTCTTCGCTGGGCACGCTATGTCGGCTTGTAAGCGCCGTCTGCGGCGTACCGGTGTCTTCATACTGCGTGTTCTCGCCAGGTGTCCTCGTCGCAGGTGTGTTCGCCCTGTGCGGCATCTCTTGAACGTCGTCATGCAGACTTGGATCCTCGGCATTCAAACGCTCGTCATCTTCAAGTCTCTCAGGCGCCGAAGGGTCGTCAGCTGCAGGCGCACCTGATACACGCGAGCGAACATGAGGGAAGGGGGAATCAACATCCGCAACTACACTACCGTTCAGCCGCGAAGACCGTCGTTGCATTCTCACCGCTCTAGGCGTAGTAGGTATAGGGGCCTCGCTGGTTGTTCTACGCGGTGCCCGCCGCACGGTCAGAGGTGGCGTCTGGACCTTCTCAATCTCAGGAGATAGGGAATCTACTCGTCGGCGCTTGCGTGGCGAACTAGACCGTTGTGTCGACGCTGTCCTTTTGGTTGCATCCAGCACTGGATTAGACCTAGATCTTAGCTGCCGCACTCGGTCTTCCTCCTGCACGAATCTGCTTGCGTCGCTAGCTCCTGGGCTTCCGAAATTCATCCCATTGGGCTTCGCCACGATGTCTACTGCTATCCGCTCGGAAGCCCGGCGACTGGGTATGGGTCGTGGCTTGCGTAAGGCCGACGGGTCATCACCAGAGGTCTTTCGCGTGTTTGGAGGCGAGCCTCTACTGCGCAGTTGGCGTCTGGATTCCGCAGAGAAGTCTTTCTCCAGCTGCTGTGCGAGTGCCCGGTCCTGCTCTAACTGCGCAATATCTTCTGCTCGTTGCGTGTTCAGCGGAAGAACTTCTCCGATCGGCTCCGGTTCCCCGACCAGCGACCCTTGTCCAGGGGTCGGTTCCGGCGTCGATGGCAGGGGCAATCCAGAAGTAACCTCCGCGGTGCTGACTGCCGCTGCCTCTGGTTGATCCTTGGATGGCTCGTGAGAAGACGACGCATTGAGGACGTTATCGTCATCGAAGAGCGAAAACGCCGGAAGCTTTGTGGCGATGATGCCCCCAGTCGGTGTCGGGTTAGATGGCCCGGTCTTCGGGGCTGCAGGCGTAGTGGGCGCTGAAGGAAATTCCGATCCAGGTGAGGCCGGATCGGGGGGCTGGCTAGCTGACTTGCCGTCCTCCGTTGTGCCTGAGGGTAGCTGCTCCGACTTTCTCGTTCTTGCTAGGATGAATGGACTCCATTTCAATTTCTCAGGCTTGAGCGTGAGATAATTTTTTGCCTCCCATCGAGTCATGTACTGCTCTACCTCCTCGGCATCCCAGCGAATGTCATACTTCGTGGGTGGTACGAAAGGACCTTTGACTTTCTCGTCGTCATGTGTCTGTGTACGTTGCAAATGTCTCCTAGCAACTCCATTTTTACGGCCTTTGGGAACCCTGATAGCCTGACCGGGTAGCGGTTTGGGACGGTGCGCACTGTCATCCACTTGAATCATCTGAAGCTGTGTAAGTGTACAATGAATATCTTCAATAGTCATTGCAGTGGCCGCACTGATATCTGTTCATACAATGGCAAGTCAGGTAAGCAGTTTTCATCATCCGAGTTTCAGATTTACCTTCCAAGCGTGGATAAGGCGGGGACGTCCTGAAGTATCTCATGAGTGCAAACGTCCAATAACTTTTGTATCCCAGTGCGCCAAGGGGAGATAGGGGTTTTTCGGGCGACCCGGGTCTTTGTTCTTTCCTAGACAGTAGATAACCTTATACCATATGTATCAGCGGGGTTGTTTTGTACAAAAAAAGACATCGACTACGCACTAAAGTCGATGAGTAACTGGCCCCACCCTTGTCGCTGCCGAACCGGAAGTGTCATAATGCAACTAACGTTGTAGTCCTTGGGGCTTTGCTTCTCTTTGCTAAAATATCCAACAAAGCGTGCGCCCATGTCGTCGAATTCAGTGATGACATAGAATAGAAAGGGCTCCACATCGTAAAACAGTGATTTGTGATCCAGAAACATCTTGGAAAGTAAGCACAAATTTTGGCAATAGATTTTGTTCTTGCGCCCGTCTACCTCGAATATTGATATTGAGGCGTCGCGGTAAATCTCGTCTCCGGGGGGATGTCTCATCTTGCATTTCAGCTACATCAAATCCATGTCAGAAATTCGAACCAAATAGAGGGTACAAAAGAACTCACCTGATGGCGACCCGCAAGAAATTGACTCCTCATATATTTCAGACAAAATTCACAGTACCATAGACGCCCGTCAGGTATACTGGCGTACTCTTCAGGAAAAGGCGCATCGAACCACGTCTCAATATCGTATTCTCCAAATCGAATCCGCTTTATTCGTGGACCATTGGGTGTTTTATGCGAATAAGTATCAGGTGTCGATCGAGGCAGGGATTCGGACCGGTCAGGTGTGAGCGGTACCGCAGGTGCAGTTTGCTGGTGTGCGGCCGAGCGCAAAGATGGTCTTGTCGATGGACCAGCACCCGCCGTCTCAAAGACCTCGAAAGGCGTTGGACGAGAAGCAAGCTTTTCCTATCGAACAGTCGATTCTGGTTATTCCATGAGCGAGGAAGAAATAAATCAGTTACCTCGGCAGCGACACGACACTTCTCAAACCGTTGCTTGTCACCATTGGTTATGGTTGTTGCCGACGTGTCCCTGTCCTCCGAAGTCAGTATATCGTCAAACATGCCTCTCGCGACCTCCTCCGGGTCTTCTTCGCGCCCTTTCCCTTTGTCTCGAGGGGGTAACCGGAGCCGGATGACGGGGACAGATTTAAAGGGTGAAGGGGGAGACGAGGGGGGAGCAGGAGATGACAAGCGAAGGCGCATCCGTTTGCCGGGTCTGGGAGCCTGAACATCGTGGTTATGACATCCCGAGCCGTCTCGTGTTGGCATCTTCCCCTTAGAACGATGTTTCTTCTTTCCCCTGTGACCCCTCAGCATTGCAGTAGTCCCGCCATCAATACCCATCTCTGGTTCTTCATCACCAGTGATAGCTTCGGAAATCGTGTCATCATTTGTTCGAGACGAGGAAGCAACAGAAGGAGCTCGATAGGACGTGAGGTGTTCAGGCGGGAGCTTGGTGCGATATTCCGCCGAGGGTGCATCAAACATGAGTGTTTCCGTAGATCCTAGTGCTTCGAATTGATGACCCGCCTGTGTAGGGAGCACTGTTTGTGGAAGCTCAGGTGGTATAGGTGGACATATAGGACAATGCCATCTTCCGGGTGGCATCTCTACAAGAGGCGGCTGGAGACAATCCATGTGCCAACCTGACAATACATGAGCCTTTTTTCTCCACCAGACGCCACGCAAATACGCACCTCTGTCACAGAAATCGCACATAATCATCCTATTCTACACGAGCGTGTCAAGACAAATCAGAACAGGATGCTAACAAAACCAGAACTGACCTCCCCTTCCTTCTTGCGACAAATTTCGCAATTCTTGCATTCCGAACATATCCAAGGATATAAACGAATGGTCTCACTCATCTCGACCAGTTTCAAGCAGCTAGGATGTCCTAATGCGACTGATGTCAGACGTCATTAGCCAGAACAAAAAGTGTCGAGACTCACCGCTGCGCCCGCACTCTGCGCAGCTTACCATTAACTCTGGCTCCCCTACCTTGTTTCTGGAGTTGTCACCCTGACAAAGCCCACATTCCTCTTCCCGACGAGGAGCCCGCTTCTTCTTGATCGGCTTAGTAGGCGGTGGCGTTGGCTCCTTAATTGGTAAGTATTGAGGTAGCTGTGGTGCGAAGGGATCACCCTGAGGGCCTTGGGAATACTGTCTTTGAGGGGGACTGGTATGCTGATGAACGTATGCGAGAGGGATGGGATCCTAGTGTATATTCAACACAATTAGTCTCGCCGCTACACGCCCGTGGCGACCGCGAAACCGCGACGCGACGCGTTAATGGGCTCCCGCGTCAATCACTGGATTCACTCCTGAATGTATGCTCACCTGCTCTTTATTACTGCTGCTTCCCTGTTCCAACAGCATAGAATCAACCTGGGGCGTACTGAGGGCAGGATCAATTGGAATGTCGTCGCCGTTGCTGAATGCGTGAAGATGAGAGTATGGCGTTTCCGAATGAGAGGTGACGGACTCGACAGGGAACACGAAACCGCTCATCTCTGAGTCGAGTCTGCCAGCCTCTAATGAGGGTAGACCCAGCGCGAAAAACCAGAAGCCCGTCGCCGTCGTCGTCTGTAACGGCGAGCCGAGTTTAGATTGTTTGTACTTTGTTTGGCGATGTGGGACTCCAGTGGCCAGCGTCTTTCAGCGAGCCTCCGGTTGAGACTCAAGAACTCAAGTCATCCAGCCACGCTCGGCGTTGGAGAAGGCATCTGGGGTCCACAGGTGGGAATCTCAGAGACACGCACAGAAACGGGGGATTCAACGGGAGTTTTTGCCAGTTCACCCAGAGACTCCTTACAGCCACTGGCCTGGCGGGCGTTAATTGATGCATTTTAGTCACGTGTATAAACATCCGGGATCGCTGCCAGTGCCACAGTCAATGTGCACGGTTGTGCTTGATATATGCTTCAAGGCCGGTTCACGACGAACAACCAGGACACCCGCGACATGCAGTGCATATGCATTGTGTACGGATCGATACTGTGGCAATGCAGCTGAGGGTAAGAGCCGAGCAGGTACGACAGATAGGCCCGACGGCGCGGGAGACGCGCAGCCAAGGCGTCTTGATTTTGCCACTGCTGGGCAGGAGGCCAGCGACTATCCCATCATGTACCGATGGGGACGATGGCAGGACGATGAGGGCGCTGGAGGCGGTCGAGCGAGGAGAAAACAGGGAGACCCAGGCTGTGTATTAAGTCCTGCTCCATGGCTCTGGACGAAAAGGGATTCGTAAGAGGTGGCTGAGCCGTGCAAACAACAAATAAGGCTCCGTGGGCAGCGTCTCCCAGTTGCAACTCGCCCTCGGTGAATCAGTCAGATAATCCGTCCCCTCCCTTCTTCATCGTCTACCACCACGTCGTCCACCACAACACTCACCATGCAGGCCGCGGTGCACGCCATGGCACCGCAATTGCTGCCCCAGTACACCCACACCCTCAACCGTCCTCTCAACGGCAATCTCAACGCCATGCCCACACCCCCAGTCGCAACGCGCAAGCGCAAACGTGCCCACCAGTATACCGTCAGCTACAGCGAAGTCCAAGAGGTCGACAGTGCCGGCAAGGTTCGCGACGTCATTGTCATCGAGGACACTCCTCCGCCTTCTACCATTTCCCCGTCCACGACCCATATGTACTCGTCGTCGTACCAACCCCCGGTTTACTCCGCACCTATCCGCACGAGGGCTCGAGCAGCGGCGGAAGCGCAAGCCCTCTCCGCTAGCACGTCGTCGCTCACCGTTGGCGTACCAGCAGCTAAGAAACGACGGAGGGATCCTGCTGATGACGCGGGCACTCTCTCCAAGCGGGTCCACAATGGTCATCTCCAACATGCTGTGGGTGCAAACAAATCTTATGCAGATGGCAGCGGGACTGCCGCAGATGATGTGCGTATGCGAGGACCACTTTCTGACTGGCACAAGCCTTACTGAACCAACACTCTAGGCTTCTAAAGAAGGGGCATCCTGTGACGACAAAGAGGGACACTATATAATTGTCCCTGACGATATCATCAATCGACGATGTGAGTGTCGCTGTTTTGGCATTTCCGTGTCGATTGCTGATTCCCCTCGTTAGACCGTACCGTTCGTCTTTTGGGACAGGGGACGTTCGGCAAGGTTGTGGAGGCCGTCGACATAGAATCAAGTCGTAGAGTGGCCATCAAGATTATTCGTGCTATTCCCAAATACCGCGATGCGAGTAAGATGGAAGTACGAGTACTACAGAAACTCAAGGAGCGCGATCCCAAGAACATAAAGTACGTGTAATGCATCTGTTGGTCGCACGTAGTTTCTTACTAACGCGCTATGCAGCAAATGCATTCATCTGTTGCAATGGTTCGACCATCGAAACCATATCTGCCTAGTCTCAGAACTACTGGGCATGTGTGTGTATGATTTCCTGAAGGAGAATGATTTTGCGCCTTTTCCTCGACAGCACATACAATCATTTGCCCGACAACTTCTCGGGAGTGTAGCATGTAAGTGAAACATCGTAAACATCAGTCTGAGAGCTGATGGGGATTCTGTTCAGTTCTTCACGATCTCCATCTTATCCATACGGATCTGAAGCCAGAGAATATCTTATTAGTTAACAATGGTTATCGAGTTGTCCAGATTCCTGTAGCAGGAACTCGGGTGTGTTTGCCTGCATACTTCTTAATCCTTCCGTCCATGATTCTGACTTCCTCGGCCTCGCAGCGTAATGCGCCACTGCGGACGAAACGTATACTAGATTCTACGGACATTCGTCTAATCGACTTCGGGTCTGCTACTTTTGAGGAAGAATATCATTCAAGCGTGGTATCAACGCGTCACTATCGAGCCCCTGAGATTATTCTCGGTACGTAGCGTGTTGCTGATATCTACGTAGCTTAAGGGCACTCATATCATCTACGACAGGGCTAGGCTGGTCATACCCCTGCGACGCATTTTCGTTGGGGTGTATCCTTGTGGAGTTCTATACTGGAATAGCTCTCTTTCAGACTCATGACAATCTCGAGCATCTTGCCATGATGGAGCAGGTAATGGGTAAAATGCCGGAGCGTTTCGCACGAGCTGGTGCGCGCCATAAACCCGAGTTTTTCAAGGAGGGAAAACTGGATTGGCCTAAGCCAAAGGTATCAAGGCAAAGTAAAAAGGATGTGCGTGCCTGCCGGAGTTTACAGGTATGTTCCCCTCCCCTGGCATTGGTGATCTGTTTTAACATCTTGGTTGACTAGGAGATAATTCCCCCAACGGACATGATTAATCGACAGTTCCTCGACCTCGTCAGGAGGCTTCTTACTTTCGATCCTGCACAGCGGACATCCGTACGGGAAGCTCTCAACCACCCATATTTTTCGCTACAATCACCGAACGAACTGTGACATGCCCGTATGTTTCTTTCTTCCGATCGGATTCAATGTTGGGTATATTCAATGGACGGGCCGCCACGATGTATAGTGTATACCGTCGCCTTCCTTAGTACAATAATGCTCTATCGTGGTATGGTCGCTATCTGCTCTTGTTTTTCAACTCGTCTGCCTCAGGAGGTCACTACTACACGTGTACAACGATATACACTAGTGCGCAACGTTTTGTTTCGTCCTCTCCCTGCATTGTGGCTCCCTCCCCACCCTCATTCTGTGCCATCTTTATCTGTTTCTTTCCTGTGTTATGTCCCATTTGTGTATCTATTGTGACCTCTATGTGTTTTGTGCCTGAACGTATCAGTACTGAATTATATAGATACAGCCCTTTCTGCTGTTCGACTTGCAGCAGCTGGGGGACCAGGGTAGCCGTCCGCCGATGCGACGGCAGCATTGATGCAGGTAATTTGGCCTGTGCCTTCACTTCCAGCCATCTCTATGATTCCCCATCGCCAACATGGCAGCTTTTGACTCATCTATGCAGTTCTGGGGTTGGAGCCGTGTCAGCCGCGCATGGCATGTGGCCCAAAAGCCTCCGCTGCAATGTATCCAGCACTCGGCAGAAGACTGGCCGCAATGGTCCGGCTACTGCGACAAATCTGGCCAGCCCAGATTCGCACCGTCTCGCCAAGGACGTGGAACCTTTCGTAGCCAGCATCAGCACAGGTGATGCAATAGATCCAAGGAACGGAGTATTCGAGGTAAGCACACGCAGGAGTTGCCATTCAAGAGGAATGCCACCTCGGCACGTTCACCCACACAGGTCGAGCCGGCTCTCGGTGGGACAGAACACCCTGCATTCTCAGTACTAAAAACAGTCCGGACCCTGTGAGTGAGACCCCATCTGACGGCCTAGGGATGCGAACAAACCATATACGTCGTCACCGAGCTCACATAGGCAAGTCCTGATAAAATGTCGGATGGATTGCACAGCAATGCCTGTCATAGCCACTCATGGCGGCAAACACGGATAGCTCATACTAAAAACTGCTACTAAATCGACCCTGTCCTCTCCGTTCATTCAATGGAGATCAGCCGTCCTGCGCGAGGACGGCGAGCGAGATCTGGTTCGTGTTCTGGTTGACGGAGAAGTATGCGTTCTTCAGGAAGACATCGCCGACCTGAGTGATCCAAGTCAACACACGCGGCAGCAAAGGAGCATGAATTGAGCCTCACCAGCCATTCTGTCGCACCTCCGATCTCACCAGATGAGATACCGGAAACGCAATCGCCGGTGAGATCGTCCGTCACGGGCGCGAATAACAGGTCGAGAGGGTTGATCGCAAACGAGCGGCCACCAAACTCGAGGGCAATGCTCGTGTTGGTCGTGCATGGAATCGTGAAGCCGCCCTCGCCATCAGACTGAGCGCCAGGAATCGTCTCGTGTACGGCAGCGGCGTCGTCCGGGGGTGCAATGATGAGGGTTGTGCCAGTGTCGAGGATCGCGGTGCGGCCCGTGAGCCCGAGGTTCTGCCCGTTGGATGTGATTGCGGTGAGTGCACCCTCCCAGAAGCCCTCAGTGTTCACATTATCGAATGTCACGAGCGTGTTGGCATCGAACTTAGTGTCGTCGAGCCCGCCGAAGGTAATCTCACCGTCATTCAAGTCAGAGGCAAGACGGGAGATCTTGAAGGATGCAATCGCTTCACTGATAAGACCGGCGGACGCGAGAGCCTCAACAGGAGTTGGGACACCTTCCTCGGAGAGGGTCTAGGAAATCATTCACGTTCATCAGTTGGAGAGAACTTGTGCGTAGATTGTTTTGTCCTCACCGACTGCGCCAATCCCATGAGACCATCGAAGGGAATATCATCCGCAGAGAAGTCGCTGCTCTCGACATTCGCAACACCAAACGTGTGGTTGTTCAATGCCAGACCAGCAATGTTAACGTTATCGGAACAGGTGACACCCTCAACTTGGCCAGTTCCGTAGGTGACCTCAAACTGCTTGCCAATCGTGACGAAGCTAGATGAGCTCTCAGGACCGAGGAACGTGTGGTTTCCCTATGAATGACGGCTTAAGCAGAAGTGTGACGAATAATTTAAATAGCACGCACGCAACCCTGGGTGGTTCCCTCTGTTGTGCAGTTCTCCGACCCAACCCACATATCTGCAGAACCGCTGTCCATGAGGAATTTGAAGTCGGTCGGAGGGGTACCGATTTGGACTGTGGCGACATAACCAACATCGTTCGCCCTGGTGTGGTGACGACATGATCAGCCATAAGCAAATCTCCGCAAATACTATCCCCTACTCGATATCAAGGCCCAGGGAGTTGTTGGCAGTTGGTGCATTTGCCAAGGTCAGACCGCCGTTCTCAGCAGCTTCAACATCAATCTCAGGGATACCATCTGCGGTGCTATTGATGCCACCAGCAGATGCCGTCGACGCCGTAGGAGTGGCACTCGCACTTCCCTTAGCAGCCTCACCCTTAGCAGCCCTGCACACAGAGCGAGGTCAACGATATTTTTCTTGACAAAAGCGTTGGCCGGCTTACGCTTCACCGCTATGGGCACGGAAACCATCCTTGCGCTTACGGTTCTGCCGACCGACCGGTGGAACGTAGAGACGCTTGTTCAGGTTCGCTTCAAGATGGCGTTTGCTAGGCTGAACCCGACCGGTCATACGCGCATGGCGCTTAAGGCCGCGATTTATGTGCTGCTGAAGTAGCTGTTCGAGCAATGATGAATACTAGTCCAGCCCACAAAAAAACAAAATCAAACTTAAGGCATACGCACCACTTGGGGATGGATATCGGACCGAGCCTGATGAAGACGCTTCAAAGGAAGCGTGAGCATGTTGTTGTTGCGCTTCGCGGGGAGCGCATGGGAAGCATCGGCGAGGAATGAGAGCGAGACAGCGAGGGACGCGAGCAGCAGTGTGAAAGAGAGACGGAGCTGCATGGTTGGACCTGCCTAAAGCTGTTACCTGACAGAAAGAAAACTGAGAGCAGGAAAGAAGGGACAGCTAAAGGCCCGGCCTTGGGGAAGAAAGAGGAGAGAAAGGAAAGCTTGGAGAGTGATTGTCGTATGAAGCATGGGTTTATATATGGCGAACGCATGTTTGTTGCGGTCCATTGTCGTCAAGGCCACCTTCCATCGGATGAGCGTCAAAGCAACAATATCCAGCCACGGTGCCCTCACGTGTTCCTCAGCCAATCACAGCCCGCGTATAATTATAATCCGCAGCCCAGCCCATTGTCAGTGTGCCCCCGCTCTCCCTTGTTCTCCCTCTGGGTCGACTACCAGACACACTTCCCTGTACAGGGACAGCTTGTCGACATCATCATCACCACAATGCAGTGCTTCACGTCAGTACTGATGCACCGCTGCTCTTCCGCTCGTCGCAACACCCATTGAGAAGCCCAGCTAGGCGACTTCTGATTCTGGATACCCAGTCACGGCAACCTTGCATGGCTGATATTGATAGATGGCCATCTATCTATCTTCACTACCACCTATATAAAGTTGGGGTTCCTCGAACTGATATGAAGCGGGACATACGAGATAATTCTATTGGGTATCGAGTATCGTACGCCCGGTTCTGCGAATCGAGTGGCAGGAAGAACCGGCAGGAGCCAGACGGTTAGATGCGGACCTGCTACGTTTCCACCTTCATCGTCCACAGACCAATCGGCATCACACTTGCACTGCATCGGTTTATAAAATATTGTTGATAATTACACTGGGCTAGTCTGAAACTGACTCCACGAAGAGCTCAGTCAGAATTGTTTCGATTTGAAGGAAAGTATGCAACGTACCATCTGGTCCCCAGAATGTACCTCAACCATGGCAAAGTGTTGTAGAACCCGTCAGACACCACAAACAGATATAAAACAGTCCTTTGGTTATATAGCAATTGGCAAAATATGGAGCACGACATACAAAGTTGAATCCAAGTTCGAGAAATGGAAGCGCCCCCGAATCTCCTAAGTTTCCCGCGAGCTTCCCGGCGGCGTGGCGCCTACCGCCACCAAATCCGCTGTGCGCATCTTCCACCATGGCTATAGACGAAGCAAGAGCAGAGGAGCTGAAAGGTGCGTCTTCCTAGTCAGATAATTCTCAGTTGTGCCTTGAATGCGATTATTATCTTATAGCTAAGCTGAAGGAGCGCGAAGAGCTCATCCGGGAATCATGGGTTCGCGCTATGGAGGCTAAAATCGTGCAGGAAAACATCACCAAGTGCTACCGGATAGAGGGCGTAAATCACCACGAGAAGTGCAAAGACTTGGTAGAACGCTATGCAGCAATGTTACAGGATAACAAGGTGCGTCTACTGAATTGCACAGCATTTGTGGTGATGACGAACCACCCCCATAGGTCAAGGGCTACAAGCACATTGATGTTTAAAGTTCTTTATACCGCCTGCGCTCATGCCTATAAAATGCTTGGAACCTGGCATCGCTTCTCGTGTTTGACTCGCATTGCGCGATGTACCCTATAGTTTTTCTCGCTCCCAGAAGTGCCATATAATTTACTCAAGTGTCCGGAATGTGCGTATGAACTTTTGAAACACAGTAGAGGCGGATCGGGATAGCACAATCTCGAATAGAAGCTGTTGCGTATCTACACAACATGCGTTTGTACGTTCGCATCCAAACGATCCTACTTCTTCGCCTTCCTCCTTTTGCCTTCTGTGCCACTCATCTCAGTCCCACTCGTTTCGCCCCCACTTGTCGCTTCGCCGGATGCTTTCGTCTTACGTGTCTTGGCCTTCTTAAGGTGGTGTTCCGGGATCCATTCTTCCTGATATCCACCAGCACCCGATGCAGTGACAGTTACTGGAGCACTAACGGATGGGATCGAGCGAGCCTTGCGCTTAGGCTGAGGAACAAAGGTGAAGTACGCGTAGTAACCGAGACCGCCAAGAAGGAGGGACACAACCAAGTAAGTTGACCACCTAATTATACCAGAGTTAATTAAAGGGTGGGATCATTTCATGGAATCGAGGCTTACATCTTTAAGTCAAACCACGATAGTTCCGGCTCCACGATGGTAACAATCGAATCATAGGCCGTCACGCGATATGTCTCGCCCTGCATGTCATGTTTAGAGATACAGTCAGAAGAAATGATATGCGAACAAACCTCCGTTACGTGATCCAACCAAATGCTGAGCTTGAGGTCTCCGGGCTAATGTTTGAATCTAAGTGATCTTTTGGGCTCATACTTCAGCATAAAATCCGTACCTTGTACCTATAGTCATGTAAGAATACGGACACGTGAATTGCGAGGGGCAAGACTTACTCGCTATAGAATGTGTAGGGTAGCTGTATTTTTGCGCCATCAACCAACAGGACGTCGTACGACAACGAACTAGTCTGTCGCAGCATAGGGTGAGCACAACAAATTAATAAGTAGGTCACACATACATTTTTGACCAAAACATTAGACTCCGGATAGTGGAATGATCCAGCGATATTCTTGATAGTAATGTTACGATCTGAAAGGTTCTCCACACTCAAAAGTATCTTGTTGCGCTCTCCATTCACAACGTCTTGGTAGTTGAGTTTCAGCTTTATGTAGAGCTCGAATCTACACATGACAGACTTACGTCCAAACGCATTATCCTCCGGGAACGAAGCTGTAGCCAAGACGACGGGGTCCGCATGCTCTGCCTCCCCAGCTATGTGTTCGGCCCACCAATGACATGCGATGAGGTTATGCAGTAAAAATGTAACTCAAATTGTACACACCTGCGAGAACAGCCGGGACAAAGGCAAGAGAACCCAATATATAACCGAGGAGTGTGTGCAGACGCATTGCACCAGTGAACGCGTCCGGAAGGTAAGATGTGAAAGAGAAAGGGGAGGCTTCACATTTGGAGCTTCTGACGCGTTTGCCACGTCCACGTACGGGATTACCATATTAGGCAGCCAGTAATAGAGTCACGTGACCAACGCGATCTCATGACCGAATCTCTGAGAGAACGCCGAACGGTTCTGAACACCAAAAATTTAGTTGGACTATCTCTCTTCTCGCAAAGCTCGTAATAACCCCGAGAACTTGCATAGGATCGTTGCCTTTTTGGATCTAGGCTTTTTGCGTAAATGTGTTGACCTTCTCTGTTCGTAGATGGGCGCGTCAGGTTGGCAATGTGCTGTTTGAGTCTAGCCATGAAAGTAGTGCTAGTGATCACTTCGCTGCTCAAGGGAAGCTTGTCGACGCGCGCCATAGGTAGCCCTGCATTTGGGGCCGTATCGAAAAGGACGAAATGAGCAGAGAGTTTTACATAACTTTCGTGCAACTTTCATGTGCGACATCGTAGCACAAGCGTCATTGCTATCCACACTCGCAGATTGTGAGTCGTTTGTGTACGACGATAGATGATTGACTAGGACCATTCCAGATTTATGAATTTGCCGACTCTATGCCACGGTCTGGGTTCACTGACCAAAGTGCCCTGTATCCATGCGACGAACCCCAAGGGTTTGCGGCCGGCTTGTTCTAATTCTGCAGATAACGCGGTGGGCCTATCGGTTTATCATTCTCTTCACTGTCTCTCTCTCGCCACTCTCCCAGTCATCCCAGCATACTGTCATCAGGAAGCCATCCATTCCGCCCCTCGGAAAGTACGGATCTCCTTCTCTACACGGCCTTGTATCCACCACTCCTTGCGGCAAGACACGGGTCCACTTCATCAGGCCCTCCGACTTGAACCCCATCTTCTGCGCCAGTCGTATTGAGCCTTGGTTGTTCGGACTCGCCACCCACTGTACCCTCCGCAAGCCCAGCCCCGGCGGCGACGCGCTCGGCAGCTCGAGGCAGTATCGCATCAGGATTCCCACCGCATTCGCCGCGACATGTGTGCGTTGGAACGCCTGGAAGACTAGCACATATCCGATCTCGGTGACAAGCTCCGTAGGCGACGTGCGCAGCAGCGCAATCACGCCCGCCATGCTCCCGCCGCCGAGCACCGGGTGCGCGTCGTCGCATCGTGTCTTGTCGATGATCGCGAACATGACGAACTCGGGGTTCCGGCGGTAGTATTTCTCCACGTAGGCGAGGAACTCGGCGAGGCTGCCGTGTGTGATGGGGTAGTGCCGGAAGAGCTCGTCGTGGTGCGCGCTGACGTTGTCCCAGTAGAGCTGGCCGTGCACGGATGGGATGAACGGCGTCAGACGCACTCGCTCGCTTTCGAGCGACTCGGAGTGGAGGGGGAAGTTGAAGTTGATGTCGTACGGGTCCGATCCGTAAATCTCGGAGTCGGACATGGGAGGGACAGCCGCCGGAGGGCGATAGAGATTCACGTATGACATCGCACAGAATCAGCCTGGGAGGTCGGCGCTCAGCCATGCAATGCCGCTCATATATACTTAGTTAACTTCATCGGGGCCGATTGTCACTGGGCGTCTCATTCATGACTCGGGCTGCCATCCGAGCGATGAGTTTTCTTATGAATCCCATTTGTTTTATATTCCGTCCTCCGTGGTGCATGTCGGGTACATGTAGAGTGTGATATATTGTCTTGGAAGCTCTGCACTTCTACCAATAAATTCTTCCCCTTCGGTGTCTGTCGAACGCGCATCTCCTGCTTTGCCGCGGCGCGGCCGCCACCTACGCCATGATATCCCCGCTAGTAGTGTCTAAACGTTGCGTCGTGTCGTTATCCTTCGGCGGTCGTATCACCATCTTTGAATTAAGATCATATCGCAAATTGAACCTCGAAGTGAACCCGCCAGCCGAAGCCTCGAAGCAATTGTTCGAAGAGTGTATATACATTGAAAGTTCTCGGCCAATTCACCCTTCATCTTTATCATTCAATAGTATTTACTATAATCATACAGAGCCCGGACTGTATTTTCTCACCGGGGTTTCTGTCTGAAGTACGGTCCACAAATGAAAGGAACTCCAGGTAGTTCCAGAGCTTGAAGCCATACCTCCTACATCAGCATTATAACAACTTCACACCACTATGCGGTCAGTATATATCCTGCCTGGGCCCGGTTAGTCGTCCAAAATCGATCATTTTCTCCTACGATGATATCGTGCGGGCAGATGTTCTGGTGAGTGAGGACGAGCGGGGCTCAACGGTTTCTTTGCGATATCCAGCGTCATCTGCTGCCGATCGTTGAGGAACGCGAAAGATTCTGCGTGCGAGACGGAGGGGCCGCACAGGGAGGACACGCTATAATTTTTGGCTGGATTGTACCATGACTTGCAGCGCTGGAAGCTTCAGTATATCAGTGCTGAGTGGCCTCCACACAAACCAACGTCGTAGCAAGTCACGCACCCTCGTGAAGATATCCCGCATGTTTAGAATTTCAGTGACCTTCCACTCAAGTCGAGTCCGTGCATTCCCATCCTTCACTTGTTTTCAGTGAGATAGGAATCTTGATCCTCGAAGAAACTGTCCGAATCAGCATGGAAGTCCCCCTCTTCATTTAAATGAACGAGTCGTTAGAACAATCAACGTCCCGGGCGTAACACGGTAGGATATTGGGACAGAAGCGTTTGCAACTTTGGAGATGTCATTTACGACGGGTGTCTGAAGGGAGGATGCCAGTTCTAGCGGTGAGATTGAAGGCGGCGTCAAGGGAGAGATAAATATGGCTCAGACCTGCGGTAAAGTCTTCGACGAATTATATTTGTGGGAGGGGATGGAGTAGGAGTACAACAGCTCCAGCCATCAGCATGGTCTGTATGATTGTTGTGGAAGGCAAGCGCCTTACTATCGACCATTAATCCGACGCCCCCTTCTAAAATTATGAGACATGCAACGGGCTTGCGCGCAGCAGCCCAATAACTCGCTGCGAGTCTCGAAAGCCAACGAGCAAAAACAATCATCTGGTAGCAAACCATGAAGTCAATTAGGTATGATACAAAATAGAGTACATAACAGACGGGGAGAACGCTAGAATTACCCTCCTCTCTTCTTGAGCAACTCCTTTGCGATCTCATCCGGTTCGCCAGACTGGTCGGGAAGCCAGAATGCCTATGCCACATTCTTCTGTCAGGATGGCAGTAAATTAATCAATCCACGCAATACTCACCAACTCAGCGCCAGCAGTGCACATCATAGCAAACCGTGGGCTAAACTTCACACACCTGGAGGGACCAGGATGTCCGTCTAAGCTTGCTAATGGTGACAGACGGAAAGGATGGGCTTTTAAATCCACAGGCCCTTGCTTTTCCGGCAACTTCTGAATATCCCAGACAATCACTTTCCCATCCAGACTCCCGCCTACCACATACTTGCTATCTGGCGTCCATGAGACCTCCTCTCCACTGCATCCTCTTTGAGGCTCGATACCAATGGGTGTAGTTATCTTTCTCCGCTCCAACCCAACGTGTCCAACAAGCTTGGCGAGAAGGTGTCCTTCAAAGGCATCCACGATGTAGTGAGCGTCCCCGGAACAACCCACCAGTAAATACTTCCCGTTCGACGAGAACGACAGCGACGTCATATATATGGCCCGTGGTGGGAAGCTTATGAGCGCAAGCGTGGGATCCTCGAGAGTAATGACAAGGAACGGCGCCTTGTCGAAATTTGCCTGGTCATACAGTAGGATGCGGGAGTAGTGGTTAACACCGGTTGCAAAGACTAACCCAGAAGCGTCGTAGGCAACAATTGGCGTGGAAGGGAGGTTTAAGAGGCCTCGGCAAGTTGGGGTGCGAAGGTCCCACAAGCGCACCGTCTTGTCCATAGATCCGGACATGAATCCATCGTCCACAGGGGAAACCTCAAGAGATACTACTCGCCCTTTGTGACCCTTAAAGTACTGCAAGTACTTATTGTCGTGCAGAGAGTGGTATCGCACGGTATCGTCCTCTTTCGTCGAGGCATGTACAATGGCGGTATTCTTGTGCGTGAAACGCGGTAAGTCGACACCATATTTTTTCGAGTAAAGGGTTTTCAAAGGTCTGTATGGATGATCTCAGTTGGAGCGAGCACACGTTATGAACTAAGAAACTCGCTTGCCACTTTTGCAACTGTACAGTCGGAAGGTTTCGTCCTCCGCGGCAGTGATGACTTGGTCCCCTCGGTCGTCGAAACTTATGCCAGTAATGTGTCTTGGACCGTTATTCTGTGGTCGGGATGGAGGAGTCCCGGGTGACGGTGGAGTTTGCGGTTCGACTGCAGTTTTGAATATTTTAGCAGGTTTCCATTTGGTCTTGTGAATAAGGCTCAGATTCAGGAATCACAAAATGCGGAGAGACATACCATCAGGGGCGGTGTCAGACTGAGCATGGAAGGTGCCGCAGTGCCATCGGTCGCGTTCAGAGGTGCCATCTGGAGAGAGCAAAGAACAGCGCCAGGCGCTGTGGCAGGCAGTGGATGTCACGGTACAGATCAGGTTAACGCTTAGACGCTCATGGCAAACGCGTGGGTGATCGCAATTTGACGCGCGCACACTCCTCGACCTCGGACTTCGACATGGCCGAACAAGACGAATCTGCTAGACTGTGGAAGGTCAATCGCACAATTCATGAGCTAGTCAAGGACAGAGTGCGTCTTTTCCTCTGCCGAGAAACTGGATTTTTACCGGTCATGATTGCACCACAGGGCTTCCAGGTCTCGGACGACGAAATAAACATGGACTTGGCAACATTTCGGAGCCATTACGCAAGCAATCTAGGGAGCGTAGAGTGAGTTAGAAAGAAACAAAGGATATTTCGAGCAGACTGACAAGATAGTACTGCAGCCGGTCGCAGCTGAACTTCTTCACAAACCACAAGAATAACCCAATGACACAGATATTCGTATTCTTTTCGGATGAGAAAAGCGTCGGTGTTAAGACCATGAGAAAGTGAGAAAGCAGCTCCGTCCCTCAGCATGCCACAAGGATTCATAAGGTGTCCGTAGAATGTTGACTATTCTGGAAGAGAAAAATATCATGCAGGGCATTATCGTGTTTCCAGGGAATATGACGCCTTCTGCACGGAAGGTCAGGAGCTTCCGTTTCCTCCTTACTAGATATGTCTTACTCCGCGAAGGTCATTTCGGCCATGACCAATTTCGCACTAGAAGAATTTGCGGAGGCGGATCTACTGGTGAACATTACACATCACACACTCGTACCAAAACACGAAGTTTTGTCGCCAAAGGAGAAAAAGGAGCTTCTGGAGACCTAGTAAGTCGCCGACGTTGTTCCAGCCTCCGTGCGCGTGGGTTGATCCGAACTCGCAGCCGCCTGAAAGAGACACAACTTCCTCGCATCCAAACAGCGGATCCTGTGGCACGGTATTACGGCCTCAAGCGTGGCATGGTTGTCAAAATTACGAGACCAAGTGAAACGGCTGGCCGATATGCCAGTTATCGGATATGTTTTTGAGCTATTCTTATTGCGTCGCGGTGGCGTGAGCTTGTCCTCGGATCGCGCATACCTACACCGCTTCTCGTGAATAATGGTAATTTTTTGTAATCCTCTACTTGCTTTCTTTGTAGTCGCGCAATATTCATCTGCATCATACTACGACCTTCTGATCCCGGTGATTCTTCCACAACTTCCATCGCAGCTGTCTCCACGCATGATCCGATGCGACATGATCGCCTTTTACAAGTGAGCTAAGGCTGCGAGTGAGTACTCTGCTATCTCGAGGAAATTTGTGTAGCCCGTGTGAAGCCTGGGGCCACTGACCTATTTGGAGAGCGGCGCCGTGGCCTGACATGCTGTGACAGAATGTGCGGAACGATCGCATCGGTCACGGGAAGATCTGGTGCGGAGGCTGTGTGGCCCGTGGACGATGAGCATTTTGGTCACTCTTGCTGCCTTCGACAGATGACACTCGACGAGGTTGCAGGGCTTGCGCGGGACCAAGAGCGCCTGTATCTGACGGGAAGCGGGGAACGTTAACTTACTTGTCCGTGGATCTGTGTCAGCTTGTGTCCGCCGCCCTCCAGCGCGATGTCAACGCTCTTCATCCCGCCGGTTATCTACCTGGACTTTACATACGATGGCGGTACCCGGCATCCGCTCGGGCATTGCCAAATGTGTCTACCCACTTCTGTGAGCGGTACGTTGGCTACACTGCAAAAGCTCGCTACTTTCTGCGGCGTAGCTTTCTAGACCCCTGACCTCTCCTCTCACGCCACTTATCTCAACCGCAGGGTCAGTGGCCCGGCCCTCGAGGTTACGCCCTTGTCATGAAAACAATGGACTTACCATCGATTTTCGCCTAGGACCAATGCTACGCTTCAGCATTGCTTTGTAGTGGTTGCGAGCGATCAGTTATGTTTTGAAGCCTTTTCACCGATCATTGTCTCGTTCTGATGCCGCCCGCTGGTCACACAGACAGCATGGATCATTGGATAGTGGCTTTGCACGAATTTGGTGCCTGTTGGTCGATAGAATTACCGACGTGTCATCCACCATAGTCTGCATCGAATTGAACCTGTGATGGGAGGCATGGGCATCTCACCCTCATGCGATGGCATTACATGGGCGCTATTATATCTGGAAATTCAGAATTATACCAAGCCCGCGCCGTGTATTCTAGGTTGGGTGTTGGCATCGGGATACCTCGATTATTTTGCGCAAACTTCTTACAGCATTTTCCCTGCCGTCTTTCGGCGCGTTTTTGACAGGAGTTCCATATGTTGCTAGTACTAGGATTGGAAGTCGCATCCGCCAGCCGACATTTCTCCTAGAGCTGGAGCCCGGAAGAACCGTCTAGAACGTAGCGAGCAACAAGCTCGGTGACACAGGTATGTTATGGAGTTGGACTGTGAACCTCGGTTCGCAGGCTCCGGCATTCAGTCTGATCGTCCAGCCAGCATCCTGCGGATACTCTGCGAATCTTAGTGTCTTTGCCGTAGCCCATCCCAGGGATGAGGTACAATTGCCGTTCGCTCTATACATGTCACTATATCCTTTGAGATTATATCAATGTCGAAGACTTTATGGACGGCAGGGGGAAAGTCGGTCCTACCCGGCTGCCTATCCGTGAGGTGCGGCTAGTTCCACCACAAAAAGTACAACAACGCTTACCTCATTTCAATCCCGACGCAATCAAGTCAGATAGACTCTCTGACGTGACAAGCGGTCTAGCGCAGAAAGTCTCACTGTTGGTCCATCTGTTGGGGAGCGCAAGGTTGTGGCGCCGGTATTGGATGCGCCGGTAGACATGCGCTAGATTTCTTGCTTCTGATGCGGTGAGGTATTATTGCTCCTTGACCACTACAGGCCTACGCACAGGCAGCAGCTCTTACTAACAGAAGCGTCTAGTCCTGACATCTGTCCTTGCTCATCGTAGGTGTACAGTATAGTACGAATGAGTTCTGTACATATGCTTGTGATGACCACAGAGCCGCCAGTGAAGTCGAATGTAAACCATCATTTGCAATGTCCAAGGTATTGGTACAGGAGATTGCTGGTTCAGAACTCGGAGCTCGTTCCCTTTTTCATCAGAGTGTACGTTCTACATAAATTAGCCGCCATTCCCGCCTTTTGAAACCTTCTAACTTAGCCCGGTAGAGCTTCGATCTTGAGACATGAGTGCCAAGCTGCATCGGCAATTATTCTGCGCCAAAGTGCCTCATTCTGCCAGTGGGTATTCCATAGTACTCATACTTCTCTTTTTGACCCTCGCCGCCATGTCAACAACTGGGACGATTGTTTTTGATGTTTGTCGCTGGAGTTTGTGTTAATGGTATAGATTTCAAATTAACGAGCGTTCCGTGCACGGTGAAATACAAGCAATCCGTTAATATCGGTCGCTTCAAATACTGCGTTTTGGACAAGCGACGAGGGTGGTCCAGACCCTGCCCGTCCTTGTCCCCCTGATTCTTCATATTGGCTCGGAAGGACAGAGAAAAACTTAAAGAGCTGCCCGGTTTCCGCCGCGGCCGCCAATGACATTCAAGCCAAGCACAGCGCCCTATTCATTTGCCACTCGAAGAGAACATGTTGATATGTCCGACAAGGAGTGTTTTTGCGACATGGCTGTTTCAGAAAGGGGTGAACTGTGATACGCGCCTTTAATGGCTCCTCGAGGACTCGAGTCGTTCCTTCTCCGAAGCACTGCGTGGCGCCACGTGAGCCGGATCGAGTGATGCTCTCGATCTCCATCCGAGTCGCGCCACTGACTCATCTCCAGCGCCGTTCAGCTGGCTCGCCATCAGCGATTAACGCTAAGTCCACTGCATACTCCCTCGACGCGCCATTCCACTATACTGGGCGCCGGGCACGAACAGCGGAAGCTACTGTCGACGCTTGAAAGGCCTCGTGGACCGGGAGTTCAGAGAGCCTAGTTCCTGACTGCGCGAAATCCGCCTAGTGTGGACAAAGTAAGGCCCACGTACATGCCGACCAAATAGATGGGATCTGAACATGGACACGTTGATTCCGGATCGTGCGGAGCGTGCGATCCATCTCTCCTCCACCACTCGCTTCCAGGTCCGTCCATTCTCTCTCGAGCAGCCGTCTGGAGACTAGCTACTAGCTCTGGGGTACACCGCCAGCGTAGCCATGAAACGCTCAATTACCTGCTAATTTCTCTTATCGTCCGACCCCACCAGTCCGACAAGTCGGGTTGCATCGGTACCGCCATGCAGAATTTGAGTCCGATTGCATTCTATTATGTACCGCAACGGCGTCGCTCCTCGACACCATCAACTGCGTTCCCGTTTGCTTAACCAAATGGACCAACCTGGGCTGGTTTCAGAATGCTCGTCGGTGGACAGACCAGTCGACGGTGACGGCATAATTCTCCATTTCCCAATCGATCCACTGGGTGGTAGATCTATGCACGGTCTCAATCTCCGAGCTCAAAGTACGTTTCCCGTATTATTTGTTATTGTCATTGTCACACCCACCTGATGCGGTAGTGTGTCATGGGCAGCCGACACTATAAAGGTGCTGCGACTTCAGCAAGTCAACGTCGTCTATCCACCCACCATTCGAGAAATGTCTTCAGCAGCTCGCCAGTTCGTTCTCCCAGACCTTCTCGCCGCTGTCCCGTTCAAGGGGGCTACAAGTCAACACTACACCAAAGCTGCCGCAGAGTCGTCTGCTTGGGTGAACAGCTACAACCTCTTCGGCGACCGCAAGCGGGCCGAGTTCATCCAGGGTAGCAATGAGCTGCTCGTGTCCCACACTTACCCTTACGCCGACTACGAGCAGTTTCGTACTTGCTGCGATTTCGTCAACCTCCTCTTCGTCGTAGACGAGGTCAGCGACGAGCAGAATGGCAAGGATGCTAGGGCGACGGGGGAAGTGTACCTGAATGCCATGCGTCACCAAGACTGGGACGACGGCTCCGCGCTGTCCAAGATGACGAGGGAGTGAGTCCCCGTCTCTCCATTCTCCGCCCCCGGCTCATGTTCAATCTTCCTAGATTCAAGGCGCGTCTTCTTCAGTTTGCGCGGCCGGGCTGTTTCCGTCGCTTCTTGAAACACTGTGAGGACTACGTCGAAAATGTCGCCAAAGAAGCGGAGTATCGCGAGTGCGGCCACGTCCCGAACATGGCGACATTTGAGCCGCTTCGTCGCGAAAATAGCGCCGTCAGGCTCTGTTTCGGTCTGTTCGAATATTGTTATGGAGCCGACCTCCCGGAAGAGGTGTTCGAGGACTCTGTCTTCATGGAGCTCTATTGGGCCGCAGCTGATGTGGTCTGTTGGTCGAACGTATGTATTCATACGCATCATGGCGGAAAAATTTACGAGGCTGACTGTGTTGCTATGTCGAACAGGACATCTACTCCTACAATATGGAGCAAGCGAAGGGGCTTAGCGGGAACAACATTGTCACTGTGCTGATGCAAGAGAAGGGCGTGGACCTTCAAACTGCGTCTAACCTTGTGGGTGTGCACTGCCGTGAACTCATGGACCGGTTCGTCGCTGCGAAGAGCAAATTGCGAAGTTGGGGCCCTGCAGTAGACCCTGCCGTGGCGTTTTATGTGAGGGCGATGGAGCACTGGGTTATCGGAAATCTCGAATGGAGCTTCGAGTCGCAGCGCTACTTTGGCGTCCTGCATGCGCAGGTCAAAGAGACCCGCGTCGTCCACCTCCGACCATGCGCAAGAGAGGACGACGATGATTCGCAAGAAGATTGAGGTATGTCCTCCAACACTCTGGCCTCATGTAGTCGTCTGATACGAAGCTGTATTTTTAGGGCGACGGCCGCTAACCCACCCTATATTGCCCCGAGTCTTCTTGATAGTACGGAGTCCGATGTCATGACTAGGGACGGAGAAGTAGTCTCATCCTATTGTGCCACGCGGCGCGCAGGGCGCTGCCTTTTCTTGTATATTAATGTGTAATAGATCCGAACGATGTAATGAGTTATCGCCGAGTGCACAAATGGTTTCGGTCCGACGTCGGCACTACATCAAGCGCGTACTGCCTCTGTCTACTGTCAGCTGTAACCCCATAGCGTCTGGTGCTGTAGTCCTACCCCAAGAGGAACTTACATCCTCAAGGATTCCCTGCGAGGCCGTGAGCCCATATGCTCGAGCGCTATGACCCGTGCTAGAAGATCCGGAGACAACTGTTCCACTGTGAGCGCGCGATGACGTCCAATTGAAATAGGTAAGATCCGCTCAATTGGATCCTGTTTCCTCGAGCAATGCGACGCACTTAATATCATATAAGTAAGGCACATGGGACATGGCGCGTACCGCTTGTATGGTTAAATCCAAAAATATTAAGTAGTTTCGTCTGAAACAGTACAAATCTCACCCTTCGTGTGGGACCTGGGCCAACTGACAAAACGGCGTAGCGATTTTATTTCACGTGGAGCAAATCCTCAGACGAGATGAACTAGAACAATGATACAAGCATTCCATTCGACATGATGGCAAAAGCCATCTTTTAACTACAAATGTAACAGCCCCTTTGATTAATACTATACAGAGATCGGTGGCGCAGGAATTGAAGGTCGGAGAAAGAGTCCGTCCATAGAAATTCTACAACCGGATGCAACTTTCACCGGTACATCAATGCAAGAATCATCTAGTAAGAAAGGGTGGCGAGATCTGCCAGGCACAAAAGGTGACACTGATCAGGGGGTCGAATGATGCAGGGGCGCGAACAACCAACGGCCCGAGCGTTTTGGTTATAAACTTTTACACGTCTCAGCGAGAGCTTCACTTTTGAGGAAGAGGTGGGAGAGATGGAAAACTGTTCTACGCAGCAGTCGGCACAGGGCTCGATGGTCTGCTTGCAGATGAATCGCGACTGTCCATTGCACCCTCGCGGTGCTTGCGAAGTAAACGATCGAGCGCCTCCTTCTGTCCAACGGCAAGCTCGCCGGACTGGATACCAGAGTGGTAGACGCGGAGGAGCGAGTCAACATCATCCATCGACTGCGTGCGCACATCAGCAAGCTCCTTAATCTTGGCTGTAGCATCCTTAATCTAAATTGGCGAATAGCATCTATCAGTCGCATCACCGGTGAGAAGAAAATTCTGATCTACCTCAGCGTCCGTCAACTTGAGGCCAAGCTGTTCCACACGGCTCTTGACCGCGTTCCAGCCCGTCAATCTGTGTCCAATTGACACATACCGCGTGAGACCAAAATCCTCGGGTTTGAGGATCTCGTAGGTAGACGGGTTGTTCAGAATAGCCTTTGCGTGGATACCGGCCTTGTGAGTGAAAGCACAATATCCACTTGTGTCATGACATCAGTGACGGTTCAAAACGAAAGGGAGAACCACTTACGTGATAGGATTCATGAATGGCACGTTGACCTCAACAGCCTCCGCAACCAAGTTCTCAATCTCACGTAGCATGGGCAGATTGTACTTGCTTTTAACATATTCCGGGTTTGCGGCATAGAGACATGCAATCAACCCTCCCAATGGAGTAATACCAACACGCTCGCCAATGCCAAGAACTGAGGTATCGATGTGTGTTGCGCCGGCTTCCAATGCAGTGTACGCGTTCGCGATCGCTGTATCTCATGCGTGAATTTAATGGAAATAACACTTTGACAATTAACATACCCATCCCAGTGTCGTTGTGAAGGTGGAGCTCAATGTCGCACCTAACGACTCCTCGGAGCGTCCGGACGAGGTCGTAAATTTGGCGAGGGTTAGCGCAACCCACGGTGTCCGCAATGCCGACACGGTTGACACCAATCTTGTCTACGGTCTGGTAGATCGAGAGCAAATCGACGAGATCTGAGCGCAATGAATCCTCCGTGGAGAAACGAACTTCAATACCTAGCAAGATATTTGAGTAAACCCTCTGATCCCTATGATTACAACCTACCCTTGCTCTTGACGAATTCAATTACTTCAATGGCCGTCTTGGTGATGTAAGCCATGTCCTTTCCATGGGAGAATTCGCGAAGGAACGACGATGTCCCGATGACAACGTCGACGCCGTCAACACCTGTTCGATTTCTCAACCAGATCACATAATAAACAAGACAAATCACGAACCAGTTTCGACTGCTATCCGTGCATCGTCCATGTGGCATCGAATGTGCGTAAGAATCTTAGCCTTCAGCCCTAACTTGCAAATAGCCTCACAGTCTATGTAATGATAAGTGAAGCAGGGGCGCTGAGCAAAGAAGCCCACTGACCTCTGCGAGACTGTTCCGAAGCAGCAGGACTCGTGAGCTCAAGGTATTCCACTCCAAAGGCATCAAGAGCCTTGGCGATAGAAATTTTAGTCTTGGTGTCGAAGAAGGCATTCGCAAACTGTTCTCCCTCTACGAGAAGAGTCAGCTGCATGTTCTACTTAGGGACTACCAACTACAGACCTCGCAAAGTGCTCTCGATAATCTTGAAATTTGATATGTTATTCAAGAAATCAGAAGCTCGGGGAGCATATGGATTCCGTCGCTGCTCAGCTGGCTTGCTGGCTCCATTAACGTGGCCGTTCACCCCGTTGGTATGGCCGTTGACTCCGTTGACCTTACCGGAGGATGAGCCATTCGATAGATCGATCGCAACCATCTCGGACGGATTGGCAAGGTTCGAGTCGCCGTTTGCGTGAGGGCACATTTTGAGATGACGGGGGATCGTGAAAGGGGATGTTGGGTGAGGGGAAAGATGTAGAGCCAAGAAATTATGAGAGAAACTTTACCTACTCGCTAGAAAGCTTTAGATTTGACTCAGAGCGAGTCAATGCGTCACGTGCAGGATCTCACAGGCAAAAACCATTCGCCATCGGAGCCCGACGAGCCGGTGAGCCGGTCACCGTTTGTGGACGTTGACCAGCATCTTCCACTCTCCTCTGCCTGATTTGTGGTTCAGTTCCATCTCTAGTCTGGACTTGGTCTAGATTTTAGCTACAACGCAATACAAGCAATCCTGTTAGTCAATCAGTCAGCCTCATACCAGCTTCATTTACCAGGTACCATCATTCAAATCGTGGGCTGAGACTGGCCATCGCGGGTGATCAACCCGACCAGTGAGTGTACCCAGCTCCCCATAGCAGCATTAAATTTGTTCATTACCTACTATTTCCGCATCCGAAACTCGGGAGATTTTCTCCCTGGCTTTAAGCGAGCTTAGAGGAGTTAATTGGGAGCTTACGTCTCATTCCGATCTCTGTTTCGGAGCTCATGATCTCACTGCAGTCATCCCGACCCGCGTTCTGGTATGTCCGAGTCCGTGTAAGGCGTGTCGCCCATGCATGACTGAAACTCATGGTCTTTGTAGCGCTCATAGGATAGCGCCCCAGCTGTAGCACCTGTGCTGAATATTGCTGCTTGCGAAGGGCAGCCGCGGTATCACAATTGAATGCGGGAACACCTTCGATGTTTGCCGTATGTCTTTCGTGTTTTTTTGCCTTAAAATTAGTGTCTTAGGTGGGTAAATGCGGCATTCCTTTGGGATGGATTCGTGACCCTTCGGCCCGATAGTCGACACGCGTCCGCGGACCACTACGTCCGCCCAGTGCAGGAAAGGTATGCAATCAATATGTCCTGAATCTACGGCAACCTATGTACCATTCAGCTGATCGTTGTCGTTTGCATTACAATCACCGTTTAGCGTCCGCTGTCGAACATTACTGGTACCAAAATGTCGGCGACATATCAAGCCCGAACACTCAGGAACAACCTTCATCATTATGGTATGCTGTGAAGTGGTCCTGATTTCTGTGGTATCTTCACAAGCCAAGATAATGATACCGTTTTCGTTCACTATCTCCCACCCCACAGAATCTTAGAGCTGGATAAACATGGTGCATGCAAGGGCGGCTATATAGCAACTTAGTGCTACGATGGAATGCACAGGCTTGGAGCGACTTTTTTCTCGCCGGGTATTCCGGCTTTGAGATTGTGCGCCAAAGTGGTGAGAAATATATCCCATAACTCCAGATCAGAGTATATCTATGTATTCTCCCGTTCTACCAAGACTCTGTCCATCAACCATCCCTCCTAATTTTGATCAGATAAATAATCAATCTGAACTTGTGGCCGAGATGATTTAGCATCGTATTTGGTGCGTGGCCATCGATTTCTCATGTAACGTAGAACTTTATTCGCATTTGCAGAAACGTGAAGTTATGTCACAATTTTATAACTGCCGCGGCTTCGCTACTGGAAAGATCCCTGTTCTTCCGATTCCCTTATACTTGAGTTGCGTATGAGAATGTTTATACCAATTAGGTTTTTGCTAAGATTTTGATCGGAAGGGTAAGTCGCTGTATTGGTCAGAATGCGGCCCTCGAAATTCCGGTCGGCATCAGCTCAATGCTTTTCTTTCTACTCTGTGCATCTAACAAAGCGATTCGCCGAAGGCGACTACAGGATCACGTTCCTGTTCACGGATCGGGGCCATAAACGCCTTCCAGCGGCAGGCGGCAAGGAGCACAGCTTACGGAGCAGCAGTTGGCGCCTATTCCAAGTACGATCGGAAGTGAAGACGAAGGTAGGATGAGTAGACTGAAATCCTGGCAAGCCCGGGTCAAATCATTGCGCTGTCGCTCTCCCTACCACGTTCTAGCGCCAATGCAATTACTTACTTAAGGTGTGTGTTTTCCGCAAGACTTCCTCATCTCCACTGGCACCCACCTCTACAAGCAATTGATTCCTACTTCTTAATTCAACGCCACCATGATCGCCCCCAACCAGTTTATTCTTCCAGACCTTCTCTCCAACGTCCCCTTCAAATCTTCCTTTAACCCTCACTACGAAGAAGCTGCCACTGAGTCCAGCATCTGGATAAATAGCTTCAAAGCCGTGCCAGACCGAAAACGCGCCTTCTTCCTTCAAGGAGGTAGTGAGCTCCTCTGCGCATATGCTTACTGCTATGCGACCCGCGAGCGACTCCGGACAACCTGCGACTTTGTCAACATTTTGTTCACCGTTGATGAAATCAGTGACGAGCAAAATGGGAAAGACGCTCACTCCACCGGTCGCATCTTCCTCAATGCTCTGCGTGACCCTAGCTGGGACGACGGCTCAGTATTGGCCACGATGACTAAAGAGTATGCTCTATCTCAATCCCTTCTCTACTGAATTACTGACAGTTTCTTCCGCAGCTTTCGATCCCGCCTGCTCCAAGTTGATGTGCCTGCTTGTCATCGCCGATTTGTCAAGCATTGCGAAGATTACGTCAACGCTTTTGCTGTCGAGGCGGAGCTTAGGGAGCGGCAGGAGGTCCTCAGCCTTGATGCCTACATGCCTTTGAGACGCGAGAACAGTGCCGTTAGGTTCTGCTTCGGTCTCTTCGGGTATGTCCTCGGCATGGATCTTCCGGACGAAGTCTACGAACACCCAGTAATGGTGCGCATGCATCTCGCGGCGGTAGACATGGTCTGCTGGTCAAACGTAAGTACTGAGGTTCACCAAAGTAACTGACATATCCTAACGGACTAATTTCCAGGATCTCTACTCATATAATATGGAGCAGGCTATGGGACATACGGGAAACAATATCATGACGGTACTCATGAATGAGAAGCGCTGCGATCTCCAGACCGCTGCGGACTACGTCGGCGTCCACTTCAAGACATTGATGGATAGCTTTTTGGCGGACAAAGCCCGACTTCCCTCGTGGGGACCCAAACTAGACCCTGTTGTCGCAAAATTTGTGATGGCTATGGAGAAATGGGTTGCTGGAAATTGCGACTGGAGTTTCGAGACGCAACGATACTTCGGTCCTGCATGCCATGAGGTGAAGCGGACTCGTGTCGTCAGATTGTATCCTAAGCGCACGGAAGCAGATTAGGTTCGTCTTCACACTTGCTCTGCCTAGCTTTGATATGAAACTCATGTAGCTGTAAAATCAGAAAGTTGATATTCCATAGTCTCGACGTCGGTCGCGGTTTCCAGGACACTATTCCCATGACTAATACGCTTGTATTCCCGCAAACCTTACATTTATTCTCCACTACTTATATGTACCAGTAGCTTCTGTTTTTTCGCTGCCATCATCGGCAACTCCACGGGCGCACTAGATAGTATTAATCATGTCGGCCTCTGTACTGTACCCAATGTCACTATTTATCATCAGAAGTGATTATAAACATAATTCGAGTGGATAGTCACTGTATTTTCTCTCAAACATCTATTGCAATTATCCCACAATCCAGCAGCCTTTTACGCCTAGTATACACCTGAGCCCTTGCGAAAAATTTAGTGTATGGCCGAGGGAGGTCCCAGGACTGGTCGGACCCTTGTGGGCAGGGCCACCAATTTCACCATTATTTGAAATGTTGATCTTTCTTGAATTCTGATGTATAAATAGTTGTATTCGTACAAGCTGATGGCGCTTGCCGGTTTGGCTTTATAATATACAAACTTGTCGCGCGCGCTAGTACCCGCTAGTAGTGACTCAAGCACTCATAGCCTCCGGATTGAATGCTGGCAGTCTAAGCGCTACGTGAGACTGTCCGTTCGGATGACCAAGTTCATTAGTGAGATGATATATTGTCAGATTGTTGATATCCGACTTGATTCTTGAACCAGACGCTACCAGTAGACTTCGACTACTTAGGACCTGAATACACTCGGCTGGGACTTGAACGAGTTCTCAGGCTGCGGTATCGAGATCTTTCTTCCCTTCAACCGCAGCAGAACGACTGCGCTGATCCGATGATAGTATAGCTCATGTTAAACGCAGCAAGTGTATACATTGCGTGCATCCATCTGCCATATTTTGACGAGACCGTTCGGTTTCTCAAGTTACACGCCCCATAGGTTCGTTAAAACCAGTCTGGAAGACACAGTACAGTGTTTTGCTGACGCTACACGTTTGATCTGATCATGAAAGCCTCACAAAGACTAGGATTCGCAGACGTGCACAAAATAAGGCACTGACGAGTTTCCCTCCTTTTATCCAAGCCGTTCAAAGCCTCTACGAATGCTGGAAGAACGGAGAGGAGTTGTCAGACCCGCCGGTATGTCTTCGCTCCGTCTAGTCTACTATCATCTCGGTATTTCATCTCCATGATTGGCTCATTTCCAGGTTTGTTGGAAAGGTGGTACATCACCCGCCATTACCTTGGAATATGCCCCAGTGTTGCCATCTCTGCTCAGTACATAGGAAAGGACGGCGAAAGGCTCGACAAAGCGACGTTGTTTTCTGCACTGAAGCAAGTCATTCTCAGACACGGTGCTCTGAGCGTACGAATATCTGGAGAGACTTCAGAGAAGCCGCTCTATATACGCCTCAGCAACGTCAACCTCGATGATATTGTCGAATTTTCCGACGCTCATGATCTTTCTGAGGCTCTCGATGTGCAGGTTCGTCGAGGGTTCGACACAACTACCGACTCCCCCCTCTGGCGCCTCCAGGTGTTTAGGGACGGCACAGTCATCTTCGTCTTTCATCATGCGATTTGCGATGGACAGAGCGGCTTAGCGTTTCATCGCGCACTGCTGAAAGCTCTTAACGACACTCAGGCTGACCATCCCGCGGCTACCGAGCCATCGGTAGTATCTATACCTGATAATACTACCCTAGTGGAACCCCTTGAACATCTAACGGATTTGTCCGTGTCGATCCTCAGCTTCTGTTGCGCACTACTTCAACTCTTCGTACCCGAGTCGTGGACAGCGGACCGTTCCACTTGGACAGGTAATCCTGTCCCCGCTGTCGAAAAACTGGACGCTCAGGTCAGACTGTTATCTTACTCCCACGTCGACGCAGCGCGGGTAATCGACATTTGTCGTGCTAATAAGTCGACCATAACATCATACATCCACACGCTATCAACGCTGATAATTTCCCATCTCCTAAATGCTGGTCAAATAATTGAGGGTGCGACTGACAGCATCTCCACTACTATCCCGATCTCGTCGCGGCATTTGACCAACACGTCCGCAGACGAGATGTGCGTTCATATTTCTGTCCTCCATCAATACGCTCCGCTCATTCCGTCACTGATTGCGGACAAGCCTGTCTCGCAGTGGATGGCACAGTTCCCTTGGGATACTGCAACGAACTTGACGACGAATCTGCGACAGGAACGAATGCAGGTGCCTAAGCGTGTAGGGTTTCTCAAATATCTGAACGACATCGGTGCCTTCATGCGGCGCCCTCTTGGAAAGAAGCGCAAGGACACGTTGGAGATATCCAACGTAGGGCGGCTTATGTTAGACGATGGGACCTCCGTTGATGGGATCCGTAAGCCACATCCATGGAGTATTGAACACATGTATTTCATACAGGCCCATCCGGCATCGACAGCAGCCGTACATATCAACATGGTGGGAACTCCGAGTGGTGGGCTGGGATTCACTATCACATGGGGGCAAGATGCGATAGAGGATGCCTTTGGAGATGCTTTTGTGGATATGCTGAAGGAAGCGATGGATGAGTTGTTGGATAACTAAAATTCTCGTATGATACCGAGGCTAACTTCTGTTCTAAAACTTCTTCCCTCGTGGGATTTTGCTTTCTCTGGTGCCTTTGACCTATCTAGATAGACTGCACTTCAAACAGGATATCCAAACGCCTTTGCGATCAGTGCAATTATAGCGGTAGATGGAGAATACCAATTGTATCACTCCCTTCTTTCCAAATGTGAACCATGTTGATCGACAACTCAATCGGCCTACAGATCTCCAGATTTCATCTTTTGCTCACCCGTTGCAGACAACACGTTCTCGTGCTAGAGAATGCTACCCGGCAAGTTTGATGAGATTACTTGGAACCTATTGCCAATTGTTAACACCGCGATATATTCAAGTTGACACACTTCTCACCTATCTAACTGTTTTCTGCATAAATCAACCCGAGTCCATATCTTATAGATAATTAGAAAGTTCACTCTTTCTAGCCCATCTGCTTAGATGAAAACGCTTGATCACTTCGCAGTACTGCCAATGACCTAATAGAGTCATCCTGCCACTCGAGATCCGACATAAACCCAGTCAACTTGAAAGGAAGAAATCGATGAGTAACATTGCACATCTCCATGAGTACAAATGATACAGTCTATGGTCAGTCGAAACCCTCGGCATCGATCGAGCAGTCTCGTTTTTCGCTTGCCGTATACATCTAGATGCTACGACAGCATCCCCCAAACCACCTATGAAGACGAAAACTACCATCTGATAATCTCCGCCTCGGCTTCGCCAAACATGCTCGTTTTCTTGACGTCGAATCCCTCTTCCGGTTCTTCTGCTACATCAACGCCTTCGGAGGTTCGATAGTAGTCAGGAAGTTCCCGCCTCAAGAATCGCATAATATGACCGTTGATGAGCTCGAACTCTAGCAAAAACCCATCGTGGCCTTCGGGAGAAGGAATGATGACGCACTCTGCGCCTGGGATGTGCTCCGCAATTTCACGCTGTTCAGACGGAGTAAAGAGCCCATCGGTTTCAATGCCAATCACGAGGGCGCGAGGAGGTAACATTGCCAGGACACGCGCGAGAGCATGAGACTCATCCTCGTCGGGAGAGCGCAAGCGGCCGCGCGCGACGTCGTGCGTGTCCAGTTTGCGGGTGATGTGGATGTAGCAGTTCGCGTCGAACCGCGAGATAAACTTGTCGCCCTGGTAGCGCAGATACGATTGCGCGGTAAAGATCGGGTTTCGGGGGGTAGGAGAGATCGGATTCTGACTGTCTGCGGCCAAAATTGGCGACGATCGTCTGCGCTGGCCGTCATTGTGCGCTGCAATCGCATCATCAACGCCCACCGTAACGGGAGAGCGCGGGGGCGTCGGCACCGCGTCAATTGTGGGATTCTGCGACTTGCGCCCGAAGCGCCGTTCGAACGAATCGCGAGACCGAAAAGTGAGAAGGGCGGCCATCCTCGCCGCCGCAAGACCAGAGGCTGGCTGGGACTTGTAATAGCCGTCTTCGTACACAGGATCACTGTATATGCTTTGGCGTTGCGCTTCGCCCCAGCTGATGCACCAGGCAGAATGCCGCGCGGATGTCGCAATCGGGATGATGTGCCGGACAAAACCTGGTGGTGTGCACAGTGGCCATTCCAGTATGGCCATTCCACCCATGGACCCTCCAATAGCGACTGCTACGGAGGAAACGCCGAGGTGGTCTAGCACAAGTTTGTGCAGTCTAGCACCAGCTGGTTAGAACAAAACAGTGACGGAAGTGGGATGTAGCAATCCATACCGGACGTCATCGCGGATTGTCGTCGCAGGAAACTCTGGACCATATAGCCGGCCGGTATCAGGGTTGGTGGTAACTGGAGACGCAGACCCATACGGCGATCCCAGAACGTTTCCGCAGAAGACAAAGTAACGGTTAGGGTCGAAGGCTTTTCCCCGGCCCATAAGTGGGCCCCACCTGCGTGCGTGCATTAGAAGGGGTTTCAAAGTCTATAGAAGCATTGTACATACCAGTCTACCACGTCTGAGCTCCCAGTGAATGCATGACAAATTATCATGACGTTGTCTCTGCTCTCATTCAGTTTTCCCCATGTCTTGTACGCGACGGGGACATCTCTAAGCACATATCCAGACTCGAGCGTGAAGGAGGGTATGGTGTGGATTTCCTGCGCTATGAGCGAGGAGAAGGGCGACATGGTAGGGGTTCAAGACAAATTCAGCGAGGTCGCGAGCTTCCAATGGGTGAGCGATAAAATGACTCGGTCCCGGTGGTGATTATGGGACGATTAAAATTCTGGAGGCCATTGGCACGAGGCTTTTATACGGCTTTGAGAGCGTGCGAGGACATTCCTGCTAGCCATGGGTGTGACGTGGGGATGATTGAAGGCATGCATTGGTGCCGGGGTGGGAGCGAGTCGTCGCGCTGTACGGTCATGCTCGCAGCTATGCTCGGGGTCGTTTCATCACTGTCTAAACTGCGGCTAATCAGTACCTTGTTTGCTCTGTCGCTACCTGTCTTCCTAGTCTCGCGGCATCTCTTGCGCATTCAACGCCGTGTAAAGCAGGTTCCGAGGACGTATGAGCGCGTACTAATCCTCGGAGGCTCAAGTGGGATCGGGCGGGCTCTCGCACACGAGTATGCCGCAAGAGGGGCACGAGTGTGTATCACAGCACGAAGAGAAGAGGAACTCAGGAAAGTCGTAGAGGAATGCAACGCATTGCCCATAGTTCCGAACAGTAAAGATGAAGCGAGGATTTTCAGTGTCGTCACTGACTTTACAAACGTTGAGGATATGGTGCATCTACGGACAGCTGTGGAAGACGGTGTGTGAACATGCATATTTGGCTTCTTCCGCTAACTCATTTGCCTCTTAGAGTGGCAGGGCGTCGATACATTGATTATATGCGCTGGTGTCTCCGCATTGCGACCCCTGATGGAGGTCGCCGGGCTCGAAAGGGACGGACGCATTTTCACTCCTTCCCAGGCCACTTTAGAGGGTATTCAGAAGACAGTGGACATAGCCGACAAAGCAGCGAAGGTCAACTATATGGGTCCACTGATATCTGCTGTGACCTTCGTGCGTTTATTTTCTAAAGTATTGCCCATCTATATAAACGCAGGCTATGCAGATACCTCTCTTGCAAAGGAGCTCGCTCGCGCCCTCCGTTCTACTAATATCGACGATGGCAGCTCTTGTCCCAGCACCTACACGCTCGCTTTACGCGTCGACGAAGGCAGCATCCCTCCTGCTGTTCCAGGCATTGGCCATCGAGCACCCTCTCATTAGATTCTCGTTCGCGATACCTGCAACAGTGAAAGGTAACTTTCGCGCTTCTGCTGTTGACGGTGGGATCCCACGCGAGTACGATCCTAACGAGATCGGAATCACGCCAAAGGACGTCGCACGAAGGTGTGCGCGTGCCATCGACGCGGGTGAGAAGTATGTCTTCATGCCGTACTTATACAGCAAATTTGGACACTGGGCGTACTGGCTGGCACCTACATTTGTAGAATGGAGGGCTGGGTTGAAGTATCATTTCGCGGCATAATGCCATTGATCGAACCCAGTGTTATATTAGCATCTTTGTGAGATAGAATTTATTACAAGCATGCATGATGAAAGGACTCAATTCAATGGCACGAAGGATATTTTGGATCAGTGGTGTCAAGATTGACCATTTCCAGCGACCGCAGGCCGTCCTGATTTCAGATGACCCTTCTTTCGCACCGTGTCTCGGTGTGCACGGCTTCGCAATTCAGATCGCAATAAGGCATAGCGCATTTCTTGCACTTATACTTTCCCCAATAACCACAGACAGAGCACAACAAGCGTGGGGGTTCGCTGGGCGGTGATGCAACTGCCGTATAGTAAGTTGGCACGCCTGGGGGGTAACTGGCAATGCCCTATGTAGTGGTGTCAGTACGATACTAGGTCGAATCTGGGTTCAGTCTGACCGATTCATCGAGGAGGGCAGAGAGATTCTTCTTGTACAAGACTGCGGTTCTCACGTTCATGGTGGACTTTTTCTTCCTTTTCCCGTCCCATTCACGTTTGTCGGATATTGTCTGGCGCGCCCGGCCCTTCACGGAGCGACTACCCAGGGTTTCGTCATCGTCTTCGAATCCCGGGAAGGCCGATGAGGGTTCTGCGTAGTTTGAGCGCTGCAAATAGCGTCAGGCCACTGGTCGTATCTTGCGGTGGCTGGTTACCTCTAGCTCGTCGAGATGCCGCTTTGTGCGCTTTGCAATTACCTCTGGGTCCACTGGTGCGGATGCAGCCTGAGCCTGGCGCGTAGCTGGCAATGAGAAAAGCAGTGAGAGACAGAGCGAGAGCGGGGGAAAGCAGACGCACGCTGCCGCCGGGGAGGCATGGTAGGGGAGGCGAGGAGCTCGCGTATGCGAGCTTGGACGATGGCGCGATATGAGTCGATCACATGCACGCGACTTGGTGCTCACGGAATGGCGAGACTTTCCCTCCTCCATTTTCCACCCGTCCTTTGACTCGTACGCCCGGTACAAGTGCCAGCGAGTCGAGCCCGTCCGCTTCATCTCCCCTCCCTCTTGCGATTTCCACCATGTCCGACGATTCCGACAAGAAAATACCTGTGTACGACCTCCCGACCCCAGAGTCTGAATCGCCCTCACTGCCGCGTTCTCGCCAGCCGTATCGTTTTTCTACTCTCATAGCTACAGTAGAGACCCCAAATGCAGGCCATCAGGATCAGCATGGCAGCTCCAGCGTCCCAATCTACCAGACAGCCACTTTTAAGGGTGTGGGTGGCCAGTACGATTACTCCAGGAGCGGAAACCCCACACGAACTCATTTGGGTGAGTGTCAATCTTGGTTCATTCGGACGTGGCACTTCGCTATGGAGTGCACGTCTCTGGTCCAGCCTAGGCTTTTCGTCCGCCTAGCACCGCCGAATGGGTGTGGTACTGATATCTGCCCTAGAACATCACATTGCGAAGATATCATCCGCTGAACATGCCTTTGTCGTATCATCTGGCATGGCAGCGCTCGATATAATTACTCGCATCCTCAAGCCCGGCTGCGAGGTCATCGCCGGAGACGATCTCTACGGAGGCACGAACCGCTTGCTCACTTTCCTCCGCACAAATATGGGCGTGACTGTGCACCACGTCGACACCACTCAGGCAACCACGGTTGTTCCGTACCTGAGTCCTGGAAAGACATCCATGGTTCTTCTCGAGACTCCGACGAACCCGCTGCTCAAGGTTGTTGATATTGCGCGCATCAGCGCGTTGGTGAAGGAGAGATGCCCAGACGCGATCATCGTTGTAGACAACACGATGATGAGCCCGTACCTGCAGCGCCCTCTCGAACACGGTGCAGATATTGTATATGACAGTGCGACGAAGTATCTCAGTGGGCACCATGACTTAATGGCCGGGGTCATTACGTGTAACCGCGACGATTTAGCCAAGGTGAGTCAGGATCTATTACACAAAAAGAATTAAGCATGAACCATCGTCACAATATGTAGCACATGGCATTCACAATCAACTCCGTCGGAAATGCTCTCGCTCCGTTCGATTCTTTCC